TTACAGGTTGTAATGCAACAAAATAGGAAAAACGCCAAGGGGGATGAATACTTTTACAAGGCACTGTAGCTACAGGTCACCACTAGATGCCCGAACAGCTTAATTTACTCAAGTGTTTCCTTTATTTTGGCAGTTACCTGTGGCACACAGTAACTAGAGGAATTGGGAACGAGGAACTACACGCATGCACTCCAATATCGCTCGAATTCCTTAAAATGGATTATAACATTGCGAATAAAGTTCGGAATGACACAACCATGTGTACAGCATCTATAGACCTGCATCACAATACTAAGAGCTTTGCCATTTGGAAAATGATTTATTTGGGTGTTTTAGGAGACTTTGTGAATTTACATCAAAAATAAAGAATAGGTTCCTAAATAGTGAAGTTCTCCTTTAATGGCGATATTGAGATAATTGGGGCACTGGCACACAGATAAATCCATTAGCTAATGCTCCTTCTCTCTCACTCGCGCTTCACTTATCTCTATAAAACAAACGCACAAGAGATGTGGGGGGGGTGTAAAGCTTGGCCTGAGGGGAAGATGTTGGTGGCACAAACAGCACACAGTGAAAAAGCAGGCATACAGTACAAGAGCTTCAAAAAGAGAGGTGGGAGAAGAGGGTTTGGAAGGCAAGAAAACGAATGAAAGGAGAAGAAGAAGATAGACAAAGGAGGAGGAGGAAGAAAGACTCGACAGTGAGACACAAAAAGGACATAAATAACTAGCATCCACCAAACATTGTTACAACGCTGCCTTGACATTGCAATATTATTTTCCTCTGACATTAACATTACGGGAACGTTTGACAGTGGACAGATGACGAACTTAAAGAATCTCATTCTTCCTTGAAGAACATATCCCTCTAATGCTAGAAAGACCATTGCATCTTCCCCCAAATTGAATATTACCCTACTTCTCAACGTCCCTTCTCTCAAATCCCTCTTTCCCTCCTTCCTAAACTTGAACTCGTTCTCTGTGCTCTGTTCTTTCTTTGTTCTTTCTCTCTCTCTGTTGCTAATCTAAGTACGCTAACCGCTGTGTGGCCCTTTATTAGCTAGCGGATTAGTCCCTAATTTCATTTGGACTAGTGTTCGACAGGGATTCAAGGCATGGGGATTGAGAGGCATTTCGTACTATTTCTCCCTGTAAACTCTAAATTCAGTTTGATATGGTACAATAGTGAGCGGTACGGTACCACATTGTTAACCTGTAATAATGCTAGTACTACGCTAAGTGCATTAGCCACTGTGTGGCCCTTTATTACCTAGTGGATTAGCCAGTAATTTCATTGGGATGACAGGGATTGAGAGGCATTTAATTATATTTCTCCCTGTAAACTTGCTCAGTTTGACATTGTACAATAGTGAGCAGTAGGATACCACATTGTTAGCCTGTCCAAGTGAGGTTGACGGTGTCCTAATATGGACACCGTAATGCTTTCATATTGCTAGTGGTAGTTGCATTTGTCTCTCTCTCTCTCGCATGCGGAGTGGGGCACACTAAAAGGCCATTGCACCATAATTATGTAATTTACCCCCTATGCCTGCTGTGGCCCTCCATCTCTCCCTCCCTTCCCTTCCTTTATCCTGTCTCTCTCTCCCTCTCGCTCACTTGCTCTCCCTCTCCCCCTCTCATTTTACTATAAAATGAACTTATAATAATTGTATTAATTTTCCTGATCTTTTCATGCGTTTCTCCCATGAGAGGAAGTTACATTTTTTTCTGTTCTTATTAGACGTCGTTCGCTAGATTAACTGATCTTGCATTCACAAACAAAAACAACTGACTCCCTTGTGACTTGTCCCCACAATATCAACAAATACATACACACACACTCACACTGACGCGTAAACACAGCCACTCGTAACCTAACACACACACACACGTCATTCATGCGGCAATGAACTGTCATAGGGCTGGCCTTGCCTCATTCTTGGCCCTCTGTCATCCATCATCTCCCCAGCAGTTCTCCGAGGGTTTGTGGAGCAGCATTAAGACCACCCCTCGGAAACCAATTAAGTTTGTATGTGTGTGTGTTGTTTGTTGGAACTGGTCATTGTAAAAGGCGACTGATTTCCTTGCTCCTTTGCCCTCCCCTATGTATTGTTAAGCTGCAATATTGGCTATTGCTGGACATTGTGGGTTAAGCCCTCTTTCTCCATGTCTCTCTCTCTCTCTCTCCCTCTCCCTCTCCCTCTCCCTCTCCCTCTCCCTCTCCCTCTCCCTCTCTCTCTCTCTCTCTCTCTCTCTCTCTCTCTCTCTCTTGCTCTCTCTCTCTCTCTCTCTCTCCCTCTCTAGAGTGCATCGACCTAGCCACAGCGATTTACTATTGTTACAACACTAAACACACCACCACACCAATATTACAGCACTCAATGAATACCACATCCACAGCTGTGTGACAAAGGACCTTTCTTCCTCTGTCATTTTGATATTCAAAACAACATTATTCATTTTGATCATATTTTTTTATTAAAGAGCAGAAGTTCTGAGTACAAGTTTATATTCTTATCCAGTTTTTCACCCTAACAGTAATTCTACAGTGCAATGTTGACTACAGCTAGTGTTTCTCAGTGAAATGGACAATGATTGATTTGTGAAACTCCACCAATATATTGAATTTATAACAGTAGCTCCATAGTGAGCCTGTAGGCTTGTTTCTAGAATGTTCTCTCTGTCTGTTATTGTGATTAAGTCCAGTTCTTATGACCAGATCCATCATATTCTTCCTATTTTTCAGATAGATCATATCTTATTACTTCATGTGAAATATGCATTATGTATTCCAGGTATGAATTCATACATAAATTCATATGACTGAATGTCCAATGATGTCCAAGTCTTTATACTCAATGGCTCAAATGCTTTAATATGATCATTTAAGACTTCATTGTCCCATTGTTATGACTAGATGTGTGCTATTCACACACACACACACACACACACACGTTCAGATCAGCCGCGCTTCTTCGTCTGCAAACGGAACCCAGAGGCCATTTCACCCCCACCCCCACCATCACCCTCTCCATCTCTGAGTAGATTCTCTCCCAATTGTAGATGTTCCCTTTCATTTGGGTGATAAGGCCCTGCCTGTTCCACTGTATTCATCTTAGATTCAGCTCTCTCCTCTCAGACTCCTTACCAGATGCTATCTTCAGACCAGACCCACTGCACACAGTTACGACAATAGGCCCACACAAAGAGAGCATGGCGCAGTCAAAATGCTCTCTCGTTTTCTTTTTCAGTGTCTCTTTCGCTTTTCTTTCTTTCTTATTCTCTCTCTCGCGTCTGTATTTTCCTCTTTTCTCTCTCTCGCTCTTTCTTTCTCTCTCTCTCGCTCTTTCTCTCTCTTTCTCTCTCTCTCTCTCTTTCTCTCTCACTGGATTGATAGATACATTCTGTGCAAAGAATCAGCCAGGCGTAACGTTTAGTGTTGTCCTTTGTTCAATTGATAATGCATGTGACACACAACTGCGTTATTTGATAATGCACCACATGCAACTGTCGTTAAAAATAATGTCTCTGCTATTTGGCTATTTTGTATGACGTCCGTGTCATATTTACTGTTTTTATCCCGCTGTGCTTCAGAGTTGTGCCAAGTTAGCAGGTCCCCTGCTATAATGTTACAGTATGTCATTGCTAGCCTCTAGCGTGCTAGCCTTGGGCTAGTGACGTCCCTTGAACGTGAACAAAGATACAGACATGCATTCAGTTGTACTCATGTAGCTGAACATTACTAAACAGAGAGGGAGAGACGCACACATAGATACCGAGAGACTGAGGGAGAGGGAGGGTCACAGCCGGCCGAGGTGAAAACACCCGTAGTTACGCAGCGATGGCATTGTATCCAACATCAGTCACTGTGTTTGTTTGTGTTCAGTCACTGCACACCTCTACGCTAATGATGTCAGTGTGCCCTGCTGTGCTCCAATAAGGGGTAGGGCCTGTGTGTGTGTACTTGCACATTTGCATGTGTGAATGTCTGTCTGCCTCGTGTGTGTGTGTGTGTCAATGTGAATGTGTGTGAGAGAGAGACACTAATGCCTGTGAGAGTGCTTACCTCACACGTGTATAACCTTCCATGCAAACACACACACACACACACACACACACACACCAAATATGTCCAGCCGGGGGTCAAAATGTCACCTCCGAGACCAGCAGCTGTGGAGGGGGTGAGCGAATAACCATGAATAACCAGGGAGAGGGGGGTCAGACAAATGGAAGTCACCCTCAGCGCTGATGTAATTAGCGCAGGTCTTAATCATGCTAGTGATGAATGATAGAGACAGGGCCGTTGTCTGCACGGGGCAAGATGAATGGTCCACTGATTAGTACAGGGCAGCTGTGGGCAGCCATTACTGTGAGTACCTCTAAAGCACCCTCAGGGTCGTTCACTACAGAAAAAGGGTCATAACTTGAACTCTTTCTAATAGCATTTAGTAGATTAATAGTGAGGCTGGGTTAGGGAGAGAGAGAGGCCAACTGGTGTTTTGACAAAGGAGTTGGATGGGTGAAGAAACATTGAAATAACTGCTACCGCAACATTTCAAAATGTCATTTTTCTAGACACTAGGCTGTGTTCAAGATCACTTGTTTAAGCTACAAACAGTCAGCGGACCGGACCGGACATTAACTTGTGGCTCAGTTTTTCCCTTTTTTGTCCAGGTCCTGTACCACATTTGTGGTCAAAATGTAACCCTGCACCTGTGGAAATGTTAGATGTACACTACCAGTCTCTCTCTCTCGACATTCACATAGCTGAAGACTTCTCGAAGATTTTATGGCTAACAAGAATATAGGCTACTATAGAATGGACATTCCAGTTCACAATACCATATCAACCAAATTGACTGTACCTATGAGGGTGCATTCAAATTGCCATAGTCAGAGGGTCTTTGCCTGGTCTAGTAATTATATTTATTTTTCTAACAACCCTAATCTCTGTCCTCTCTCCAGTTGTCTCCAGAGACGGGTCCCAGACAGGGGGGAACCATGCTGACCATCACAGGGGAGAACCTGGGTCTGCAGTTCAAGGACATCCAGACAGGTGTCCGTATCGGCAAGGTGGCCTGCACTCCCGTGGAGGCCGAGTACATCAGCGCTGAACAGTGAGTGACTCTTCCTCACTCCTTTTCTCTCTCTCTGTCTCTTTTACTGCTGCCTCTGTCCTCTGTTTTGATGCATTACCCTTTATCTCTCTCCTGGTCTGTCTATCCATCCCTCCCTCCCCCTTCCTCCCCTGTTAGCCCTATTTTATAGTTATCCCTTTGTCTCTCTTGCTCTCAGTCCACACATGTTGCAGTCTCACCCTCGTCCGTTCCTCCTCTTTTAACCCATTCTTCACATTCTCTTACTTCCTGGTATCCTAGGAGACTTATCTGACTCACTTCCATGTCTGGAGAGATACAGAGCTCGCACAAACACCTTTTCAACCGTATTCAAATCAAGTTGACATCATAGACTCACACAGACTCGTAGTGTTTAGAGACATAAATGACAAAAGGAAAGCTGCATTTCCCCAGTCAGCACATAGGCCACCAACAAACAAACATATTGCTTGTGTCACTGTCATGGGTAATGTCACCGCCACAATCACCTCCGTGCGCGAGGGGCTAACGCTTAACCCCTGTTACAATTAGGGCGTGTTGCGTGATGGCAAGGACGGTGGTGACGTCCGTTGGTCCACACACTGAAGTTGTCAGGGTAACTAAAAGTGATGTTCTGCAAATGGAGCGACTCTGGGGTGGCTGGCCGTGTCATTTCCGTAACCCTGTCCGAGCCGTAATGGAGGAGGTGTGTTAGGGTGCGGAGGTGGGTTACGGCAATATGTGTCAAAGGTTGAGGGTTAAATGGTGTGGAGATCGGAGGAAGGTCGTAGTGGAATAAGGTCTGGTCAAGCTCAGCCCACACACACAGGTCACATACATCATAGATGCACACACACAAAGACAGTAAGTAATGTGCACATATGCGAAATGGAGTACACACACACACACACCAACAAAACCGTACTTCTCATCAAGCTTCTTAAGCTCTCTGTTATTTCACTTTGACTGCTTAACATTCCCCTTGTCGTCACTGTAATGAATGTTAATTATCTGCTAAAAAGTCTACTAGCTGTAATCATTGTCCCTCCCTGTGTGAGACCAAACAAATAAACAATTGCATCGGAATGCGGACGTCATCGCTGCAGCGGTGGAGAGCGGTTGCCGTGGCCACCTGCAGCGAGGACAAAAGCAGCAGAGTTAATAACTCATCACAGGCGGGGGGGGGGGCTGCAACGAGATGGGAAGGATACGAGCTTGTTCAATTAATCACCCCCCTCCTCCACTTAAACCCAGCTCTCTCTCTCTCTCGCTCTTTTTTTCCTATTGCGCTCTCTCTCTCTCTTTTTCCTATTGCGCTCTCTCTTTCTCTCTCTCTCTCTCTTTTCCTCTCGTTCTATTTGGCTAATTAACAGTCTGGAGTGTCTGAGGCGGGTGAAACATGAGGTCTAGGGCTATGTCTGTGTGTGCACAATCCTTTATGTGTGTGTGTGTGGTATTTGTGCGCAGATTACTGACATGTGCCCATGTGTGTGTTCCTGCCCGCGGTGCCCAACCTCCTCAGACGCTCGTCCTCTGCTTCAATCATTTCTAAAATGGATTTGGCCAGCCGCCGCCCAAGGCCAAACACAAGGCTTATGGGGTTATAATATCCTCTAATACTGTCGTAGAGAAACAAAATGGAGCCTCTCTCTCCTATCGTACCTCTCCAGGTACATGTCATCACCATCACACACTCTATCCCAGCTATGGATATTGGCAGGGCTATTGCTATACTCTGTGTGGCTTGGTTACCCTTGGACTAATGCTGTGGATAGGTCAATGGCTATGATGATCATATTTGTAGTGTCACTCACCAACTCTCTCTCTCTCTCTCTCTCTCTCTCAGGATCGTGTGTAAGCTGGCTGATGCGACAGGTTACCGAGTGCAAGAGGCTCACGTGGAAGTGTGTGTGAGGGACTGCACACACACTGACTACAAAGCCATCTCACCCAAGGCCTTCACTTTTGTGGTAAGCCCCAATCAGACCTGTGCTGAATTGTCCTTCTGTAATGTTGTGTCCTTTCATCATAGGAAAAACAACAGTTGATCCCAGAACAAATTAATTCCTGACTCATGTTGATATATTCCTCTTCCCCAGTCTCCCTACTTCACGCGTGTGCAGCCCTCCAAAGGCCCCCTCTCGGGGGGCACCCACATCACCATCGAGGGGAGCCACCTCAATGCAGGCAGCGCTGTGGCCGTCAAGATCGGCCTCCACAACTGTTCCTTCGAGAGGTGAGCTCTCTGACAACCCTGCTCGCACACATTGTAACAATGACTGTTGCGTTTAGTGCTACATTGCTAACTATATTGGTTTATTGATGTTATGGCAATGAAAAACCAGCATTTTTGATGCAAATGACAGCCCACCATTTGTGATGGAAATTACTTGTTACAGGTATGACTTGCCTTCATTTGTTTTGGGAATGACTGCCCACAATTTCTGTTGGGAATGACTTCCTCTGTTACGGGGATGACCAACCTCTGTTTGTATGGATTTTACTTGTTTGCTTTCCATTGAAGACGAATGATCTAGAATTAGGGTTTCAAAATACTCTACATGAATCACGTTTCCCCTTTGTGCTATATGTTACGGGCTGGGTAAATTCTCCAACACTCTACAGGACATTCCAATAAGCTAGAAAGGTGAGAAGTCTGTTCTTCTGCAGCTCTCTGTCTCCATAGTCTTTCATGGTGAAACAAACGCTCGCACGCACACATATATATACACACACACACACACACGAACTCGCAGCATACCGTGCACTCATCGAAAGCCTCAAATGAACACGTGTTAGCAGATGGCGGGGACACCTCACAGAAGAACGAGTGCCTGGTTAACACCTCTCTTAGAAGAGGGTTGGGAATTTCTCCGAAATGTAGAAAGCAAAAAAAAAAAAAGAACTGAATGAGAGGAGAACATGGGAGAAGACAATCAAACATTCCTCACCATAGTAAAAAACCCTGGATATACCCATACATTTATCTTGCAACGCAGACGGTAGTTTTCCCGGAACAATTAGCTTTAGATGTAATTGTGCACAAGGCACTATCAACATGATTGGTGGTTGGCATATAGACAGCCATATGTGACATGGTTTATACAAGAGGCATATATGCATGCAGCAATGGCATCTGTTGATATTAGGGAAACATGTTGAGCTAAAACCTTGACTTGCTCTGAAAAGAGAGCTGCTGTCTTTGATATAGTATTAGGATTACCAATAATAGTATGATATAATTTGATGATAATAACGGTAGTATAATATGATAATATACTGTATGATAGGCTACATATTGAGCTGTTTTGGTCCAGTCACATGGGGCTCATCTCAATAGTCAAAAGGTCCCTTCCTCATCTCCTCTCCTCACCTTCATCTGAACTGATCTGAAAACACAGGATAGGTGAATTCAAGGTGATGGATTCCCAACGGAGGTTTGATGCCACCTTGTCTAGTTCATAGCGGTGCAGATGAAGACAAGGAGACGAGGAGAGGAAGCCACTCTAGACTATTGAGATGCAAACCTGGAACAGCACATACATAGCATACATAGCACTGTCCTTTCAGACACACTCTAGCATAGCAACGCTCTATGTCTCTAAAGTAATGGACTTGGAAAGCGTTCTCTCTTTTTCGCGCATCACGTCCAAATGTTTTTTCTTTCATCTCCAAGTTCAACGCGGCTGCTTTAATCAAAGCCTATTTCCCCTAGTCATTCAGGCACTTATCTCCCTCTGAAACCTTTATTCCCACTCTCTCTCTCTCCCAAACCCCCATTCTTTTGATCCAGTTGACAACAACCTTGTCAAAATATGTACGGCGGAGCGCGAGTGTCGCCGGCGAGTGTTGTGAAAGCGGTTGCCCGGGCAACGCAGTGCTGCGAGCGGAATGTGGAAAAGGCACATTACTTTTTTATTTTTCGTTCCCTTCTTGTCCGTACACCTTTCAGCGGAGCCCTGGAAGACGGGTCGTTTAAATTGCTTCTTACAAGACCGCAGGGATGGGCTCGCAGAAAAGCATCCTAGCTTATTTTCCCTTCCACTTAGTTCCCCCTCAGCTGTTGTCGTCTCGCTAATATTTCTTCCCTCTTTCCTCTCCTCTCTCTCCTCTCAGTTTCTGGTTCATAACAGATGGGATTTATGTACGAAATAGTCGTTGTGTAGGATAGGAAAGTGAGTGCACTCATCACACACACTCATGCACACACCAATGTGTGTTTGCACGCGCGCCATACATGTGCGTCCGTTCACATGCATTCTACAGAATCACGCAAACACCCACACATTTATCCTAATATGTATACTCGCAGGATCACTTACATTATGCAGATGTACAAACACGGCAGCCTTCTGCTGTCTTCTTTGCCAACACAAAAACATTTAATCAGAGGAGATGGAAGTAGAGTGCAAAGTTTGTCGAACTAACCCGAACCGCAAAACTTTCATAACGCAGCACAGCTGGCTAGGTGTCTGAGGGGGTTGCATCATCTAGTGATGACCGGCGTTCTCTGGGAATCTGCCACTCCAGATCGGCCAGGGAGAGAGAGAGCAGAGAGAGCAGGTCTTTGAAGCCATAGCTCTGTGAAAGTCTGTCTGACGAAACCACCGTCTGTTGGACTGAAAGCACTGGGGCTCTCGGCACTCTTAAAGTTTGTGTGTGTGTGTATGACATACTCTTCCCTTAATGTCAAATACACGTATCACACGGTGACATACTATACGATACTTTATTGTCCATTTTTATTGAAATTCTTCGTGTTCCTTCTTCATGTAACACACTCCCTCTGCCCTTCCAGGCGGAGTGCCAGGGAGATAGTGTGTGTGACCCCAGCGGGTCAGACTCCTGGCGGTACCCCCGTCATGGTGGACATCAACTCAGCTGAGCTCAGGAACCCAGAGGTCAAGTTCAACTACACTGAGGACCCCACCATCCTCAAGATCGAACCTGACTGGAGTATTGCAAGGTGAGTGGGAACCAGTTGGAACTGGGCCTGTATCCACAAAGCATCTCGGAGACAAGTGCTGATAGAGGATCTGTCTATATAATCATTATGATCTAAGATGCAACACCGATCCTAGATCAGCACTCCTAATCTGAGACGGTTTGTGGACACAGGCCTTGGTCTGAAACTAGTCTTAACCGGTCTTAACAGATTGCTTTAGATCTTTTGATGGACATTTTGATTTTAATTGTATTTGGAGATGTGAGAGGATTTGATAGGTGTAAGGCAAGGAATGTGGCACTAGCTCCCTCTTGCAACTATATTGCTTAGACCTATCCAGTCGTCTCAGATCTCCACAAGTGCACAGCAGCTAGGGGTTTATTTGGGATTGGGCGTTAGTCTTAGCACTGAGCCAAGTATGCTGTAGGCACACTTCATTTTCATACACAGTATCGAGAGAGATCAAACACGCAGGCGCTGGAATTTTTTACCAAACTATTTCCCCCTGAAAACTGATACAACAGCTAATCTTTGCTGAAAATGGACTTGAAAGCCGCTGGTAGTTTGTATTGCAGTCGACGCAAAGACTGTATAAATATTGTCTGACTTATTCAAATGAGACAATGTAGTGAGCCAGTTTGCCACGGGAATATTTATGAACAAACACAAGCTGTGTACAGAGCAGGAAGTGGATTCCGATGCAAAACGGGCTTGATAGATTGACCTAGAAAAACTGAGTTGGTGTTCATTGCTCAGGCAGGCAGGCAGATAGCACACTGTTGATGCTCCCTAAAATAGTAATGTGGCCTTCTATCAACTCAAACAGTCTAATTCACTGAAGTAATATATTTCTGGAACACCTTCTATAGGCCACCTGTCTTGTAATGCATTATAAAGACATTATACAGTGGGGAGAACAAGTATTTGATACACTGCCGATTTTGCAGGTTTTCCTACTTACAAAGCATGTAGAGGTCTGTAATTTTTATCATAGGTACACTTCAACTGTGAGAGACGGAATCTAAAACGAAAATCACATTGTATGATTTTTAAGTAATTAATTTGCATTTTATTGCATGACATAAGTATTTGATCACCTACCAACCAGTAAGAATTCCGGCTCTCACAGACCTGTTCGTTTTTCTTTAAGAAGCCCTCCTGTTCTCCACTCATTACCTGTATTAACGGCACCTGTTTGAACTCGTTACCTGTATAAAAGACACCTGTCCACACACTCAATCAAACAGACTCCAACCTCTCCACAATGGCCAAGACCAGAGAGATGTGTAAGGACATCAGGGATACAATTGTAGACCTGCACAAGGCTGGGATGGGCTACAGGACAATAGGCAAGCAGCTTGGTGAGAAGGCAACAACTGCTCCATGCAAGATCTCACCTCGTGGGTCATCAATGATCATGTGGAAGGTGAGGGATCAGCCCAGAACTACACGGCAGGACCTGGTCAATGACCTGAAGAGAGCTGGGACCACAGTCTCAAAGAAAACCATTAGTAACACACTACGCCGTCATGGATTAAAATCCTGCAGCGCACGCAAGGTCCCCCTGCTCAAGCCAGCGCATGTCCAGGCCCGTCTGAAGTTTGCCAATGACCATCTGGATGATCCAGAGGAGGAATGGGAGAAGGTCATGTGGTCTGATGAGACAAAAATAGAGCTTTTTGGTCTAAACTCCACTCGCCGTGTTTGGAGGAAGAAGAAGGATGAGTACAACCCCAAGAACACCATCCCAACCGTGAAGCATGGAGGTGGAAACATCATTCTTTGGGGATGCAAAGGGGACAGGACGACTGCACTGTATTGAGGGGAGGATGGATGGGGCCATGTATCGCAAGATCTTGGCCAACAACCTCCTTCCCTCAGTAAGAGCATTGAAGATGGGACGTGGCTGGGTCTTCCAGCATGACAACGACCTGAAACACACAGCCAGGGCAACTAAGGAGTGGCTCCGTAAGAAGCATCTCAAGGTCCTGGAGTGGCCTAGCCAGTCTCCAGACCTGAACCCAATAGATAATCTTTGGAGGGAGCAGAAAGTCCGTATTGCCCAGCGACAGCGCCGAAACCTGAAGGATCTGGAGAAGGTCTGTATGGAGGAGTGGGCCAAAATCCCTGCTGCAGTGTGTGCAAACCTGGTCAAGACCTACAGGAAACGTATGATCTCTGTAATTGCAAACAAAGGTTTCTGTACCAAATATTAAGTTCTGCTTTTCTGATGTATCAAATACTTATGTCATGCAATAAAATGCAAATTATTTACTTAAAAATCATACAATGTGATTTTCAGGATTTTTGTTTTAGATTCCATCTCTCACAGTTGAAGTGTACCTATGATAAAAATTACAGACCTCTACATGATTTTTAAGTAGGGAAACCTGCAAAATCGGCAGTGTATCAAATACTTGTTCTCCCCACTGTAGTTATTTATTATAAGGGACATTTCAACACATCAACTCGGAAATCATAATTATTTTTAAAGTGACCCCCGATGTCATCATAAGGGGTCCTTTTCCTTGTATATCTTTGACTACATAAAGAAAGATTGCATTTTCACATATTTAGAAGCTGGTAGGGTGCTGCTGGACATAATAGATATTAGTTTAAAAAGTGGTGAAGTGCCCCTTTAATATGCATTTATGGTCTCTTATAAGGACCCATAGAAGATTGAAAATCAAGTTCAATGAAGAGTGGATCCAGGTGAGGAAACAACTTGCTGGAGCACTCACATGGTATAAGGCACTCAAACTCAACTCTGGACATCGAAGCAGGTCCATTGCTTTTGTAATTGTTCCCCTCTAATCAGGGACTGATTTAGACCTGGGACACCAGGTGTGTGCAATGAATTATCAGGTAGAACAGAAAACCAGCAGGCTCCAGACCTCGTAAGGTAAGAGCTGAATACCACTGGTATAGGGAGGTTGTAGTTGCCCTTCGATGCTGATGTTGGGTCAGTTTAGCATTTTCCACACTGATGGTTAGGATTGGGGGAGGGGGAGGGGAATCTGATCTGTACCTAGGGCATCTTCTAGATCTGTACCTAGGGGAAACTTCATCCTGGAGCTGAATAGGCCATGTAGCTTAGAGACTAGGTAGGCTATACACAGTGCTTTTTTAATAGGGTAGGTGGGAGAAAAAAGCAGCAACTAATTGGTAAAATGGCTACCCTGGAGAAGTAGGCACAAAGTATTTAAGTGCCTTCCATTCAGCGACCGGATGATTGGCAGCTGCGTTTCAAGATGATTGGCAGCTGCGTTTCAAGGGCACCCAAACAGACATGATGCCGCCAGACAGAAAATGTCCGCCAGTCGCCAGAAGGAACGGGACAAACCACTATGGAGGCATCACGAGGGGATAGTAGAGGTGAAAATAGGAGAAGCGTTTTAATCTCCGTAGGGGCGGAGAGACGATCGACAGACTCGACACATGACAGAGGCGTGAGTAGGCGCGCGGTCTCATTTGGAACAGAGGTGTGAAATGAAGGAGGAAGAAGTAGAAAGAAGGATGAAAAGGTGTTAGTGTTGCTAGTGTTATCCTCAGGAGGGAACGTGACCTCACTGCCTCGCTCGTTATTTGGTGTTTTTCTCACCGCTCCCAGAGGATTTGCTGTTTCTCCTCGTGGCCAATCACGACTTGTGTGTACGTCGCAAAAGCAATTTTGGCGCCGCATCCCCTCCGGCAACCTTTTTCCCACGTCCGCTACAAACAATAACGGTGGTTACAACACACGTCCACCACACAACGTTGGTTAAAAATACAGAGGGTGACACAACTCACTTGTTACTTTTCAGCTTGTGCTGGGACACTGACAATCTCCCTGTGCTAACCTCGCAGTGACAAAACAGCAGAGCAGAGATGGAATGGGTTAAAGAGATGCCTTGTTGTTCTCGCTACATTTTCACAACGTCACCTGCAATCAGTACACTTTGCAATCAATAGTTGTTAACTCCTACCAAGTGCCACTCTTAGTTACCACACAACACCTTGCCTCTTGAGTGGTGTTTTATCGACCCCTGTGTCTGTAACAAGCATTTGCTTGAGTGTCTTTACACAGATGAGCATGTGGGCCTAGGACAAGTTACCTTGCATGCTTACTGATTCAACCCTGTCACATTGCGTCATGTCAGTCTGGTTTAGAGAGTTCAGCCTCCCGTGGTTGAGAGGGGGTGTCTTGGGGGACGTGACTCTTGCCCATGTTACTCTTGTCCTTATTGGTGATTGTCAGGTGAATCGGAAAGGTCAAATGGTGAAAAGCTCAGAAAACCAGCAATTCCACAGTCTGGGTCAGGGCTGGGCGATATATCAAATTAATTAGATGAATTCAAATGTATGTTTTTGTGCAGAATCATTTTTTTGTGGGTATTTTTCGTTTTTATGAGCGTTTATGTCCGCTTTTTCTCATGTTGTCTTTTTGGTCTCGTTTGCTCCTTCTGTGCTGTGCACCTTCCCATTTACACCAGAGATCAGTAAATGACGAGATGGTCGTGTCTTCGCCCTAACAATGGGAGTCGTTGTCCCAAAGGCATGAAGGCAGGCGACAAGCTTAGGTTCAAAATAAGCGCATAGAAACGCATTGGGCTTATTTTGGACAGATTTTGGCGAGAGCGAAACCTCTCGCTTCGCCTCTTTCTCCCAAGCCCCTCCCCCTACCACTCAACAACAACAAAGATGAGAGATCACTTCTTCCTCTCTGACAAACGGTTTAAACTCGCTATTTGCATTTGAGGTTTGGTCCAACAGAATCAGTCAGATGGACACCGAAACACATGGAGGAGAAGTTAATCTTTCGGACCATACCCTGTTTATGTTTCAACTCCACAAATTTCGAGCAGAGCAGACACTACTAAAATGGATGTATCAATGAACATTAATTCTGGAAAATGTATGCTCAGTTTGTCCCACACGCATTACGGTACCACGTATCGCTAGCAGCATTTTAGTCAAATAAAGATAGCTATACTAGCTGTTTAGTCTGTGTTATATATAAGGAATTGGCAACTCGTTCTCATTCTGAGAAATAAGGTAGGCCACTTGATTTCAACATCTGAACAAAGTAAACAAACAGTTGGAGACGGACAGAAGGTTGCGTTTATAACAATTCAACTGTTTTGCCTTGTTAGCTGAATTCAGAGCTTGTGAAATTATACCTAGATTCAAGTTGGCTAAACTTGAAATATACACTACTGGTCAATTTTTTGAACACCTACTCATTCAAGGGGTTTTCTTAATTTTTTAAAACTATTTTCAACTTTGTTGAATAATAGTGAAGACATCAAAACTATGCAATAACACATATGGAATCATGTAGTAAACAAAAAAGTGTTAAACAAATCAAAAGATATCTTCAAATAGCCACCCTTTTCCTTGATGACAGCTTTGCACACTCTTGGCATTCTCTCAACCAGCTTCACCTGGAATGCTTTTCCAACAGTCTGGAATGAGTTCCGATATATGCTGAGCACTTGTTGGCTGCTTTTCCTTCACTCTGCGGTCCGACTCATCCCAAACCATCTCAATTTGGTTGAGGTCGGGGGATTGTGGAGGCCAGGTCATCTGATGCAGCACTCCATCACTCTCCTTCTTGGTAAAATAGCCCTTACACAGCCTGGAGGTGTGTTGGGTCATTGTCCTGTTGAAAAACAAATGATAGTCCCACTAAGCCCAAACCAGATGGGATGGCGTATCGCTGCAGAATGCTGTGGTAGCCATGCTGGTTAAGTGTGCCTTCAATTCTAAATAAATCACAGACAGTGTCACCAGTAAAGCACCCCCACACCATAACACCTCCTCCTCCATGCTTTACGGTGGGAAATACACATGCAGAGATAATCCGTTCACCCACATCGCGTCTCACAAAGACATGGCGTTGGAACCAAAAATCTCAAATTTGGACTCCAGACCAAAGGACACATTTCTACCAGTATAATGTCCATTGCTCGTGTTTCTTGGCCCAAGCAAGTCTCTTCTTATTTTTTGGTGTCCTTTTGTAGTGGTTTTCTTTGCAGCAATTCGACCATGAAGGCCTGATTCACAAAGTCTCCTCTGAACAGTTGATGTTGAGATGTGTCTGTTACTTGAGCTCTGTGAAGCATTTATTTGGGCTGCAATTTCTGAGGCTGGTAACTCTAATTAACTTATCCTCTGCAGCAGAGGTAACTCTGGCTCTTCCATTCCTGTGGCGGTCCTCATGAGAGCCAGTTTAATCATAGCACTTGATGGTTTTTGCGACTGCACTTGAAGAAGCTTTCAAAGTTTTTGAAATTTTCCGGATTGACTGACCTTCATGTCTTAAAGTAATGATGGACGGTCGTTTCTCTTTCCTTATTTGAGCTGTTCTTGCCATAACATGGACTTGGTCTTTTACCAAATAGGACTATCTTCTGTACTTTTTCCACATTTTGTTATGTTACAGCCTTATTCTAAAATGGATTAAATAGATTATATCCCTCATCAATCTACACACAATACCAGATAATGAGAAAGCAAAAACTGGTTTAGAAATTATAATGGAAAAGTATATAAACTGGGGGAAAAAAACACATTTGCGTAAGTATTCAGACCCTTTACTCAGTACTTTGTTGAAGCACCTTTGGCAGCGATTACAGCCTCGATTGGCACACCTGTATTTGGGGAGTTTCTCCCATTCTTCACTGCAGATCCTCTCAAGCTCTGTCAGGTTGGATGGGGATCGTCGCTGTACAGCTATTTTCAGGTCTCTCCAGAGATGTTAGATCGGGTTCAAGTCTGGGCTCTGGCTGGGCCACTTAAGGACATGCAGAGACTTGTCCCGAAGCCACTCCTGCTTTGTCTTGGCTGTGTGCTTAGGGTCGTTGTCCTCTTGGAAGGTGAACCTTCGCCCCAGTCTGAGGTCCTGAGTGCTTTGAAGCATGTTTTCACCAAGGAACTCTCTGTACTTTGCTCCGTTCATCTTTCCCTCGATCGTGACTAGTCTCCCAGTCCCTGCCGCTGACAAACATCCCCACAGCATAATGCTGCCACCACCATGCTTCACCGTAGGGATAGTGCCAGGTTTTCTCCAGACATGACGCTTGGCATTAAGGCCAACGAGTTCAATCTTGGTTTCATCAGACTCTCATGGTCTGAGAGTCTTTAGGTGCCTTTTGGCAAACTCCAAGCAGGCTGTCATGTGCCTTTTACTGAGGAGTGGCTTCCGTCTGCCCACTTTACCATAAAGGCCTGATTGGTGGAGTACTGCAGAGAAGGTTGTCCTTCTGGAAGGTTCTCCCATCTCCACAGAGGAACTCTAGAGCTCTGTCAGAGTGACCATCAGGTTCTTGGTCACCTCCCTGACCGAGGCCCTTCTACCCCGATTGCTCAGTTTGGCCGGGCGACCAGCTCTAGGAAGAGTCTTGGTGGTTCCAAACTTCTTCCATTTAAGAATGATGGAAGCCACTGTGTTCTTGGGGACCTTCAATGCTGCAGAAATTTTTTAGTATCTTACCCCAGATCTGTGCCTCGACACAATCCTGTCTCGGAGCTTTACGGACAATTCCTTCGACCTCATGGCTTGGTTTTTACTCTGACATGCACTGTCAACTGTGGAACCTTTATATAGACAGGTGTGTGCCTTTAAAAATAATGTCCAATCAATTGAATTTACCACAGCTAAATCAAGTTGTAGAAACAGAAAGGATGATCAATGGAAACAGGATGCACCTGAGCTCAATTTCTAGTCTCGTAGCAAAGGGTCTGAATACTTATGTAAATAAGGTATTTATGTTTCTTTTTTCTTTTTTTCTTTGTCATTATGGGATATTGTGTGTAGGTTGATAAAACAATTATTAAAACAATTATATTTTAGAGTAAGGCTGTAACATAACAAAATTTGGAAAAAGTGAAGGGGTCTGAATACTTTCCAAATGCACTGTATATCATGAATCGCCCATAAATTTGAAAAAATTGAGATATTAGTTTTACGCCATAATCGCCTGGCCCTAGTCTGTGTGTGTAAGCTTTTGTTCCAGCCCAGCACTATCACACCTGTTTCAAATAACGAAGTAGTCATGTTTTATAACCAGCTAGTATGGACGACTGTGACGAAGTTGGCCGTTATCTCATGCACATAAAAAGGCTTCTTAAAGTAAGGAACAGTTTTACTCCAATGGAGAATTTATTTGACTAAATAGATAAATACAACAACGATTAAAATCAGGACATGAACTAAAAGGCTAAAACAAGGATAAAAGGTTGAGAGCATAAAATCTAGCCAACATGCTGTCCTCTACCCTTGCTTTCCACCCCCAACTGCCTCTCTCCCCTAAATACATATACACCTGTATTCAATCAACTCAAATTGGTGGGAGGGGCTTATCGTATACAATTAGCCAATCCTGATTCTAAACACAAATTCCTTTAACACACTTAACTGCTGCAGGTGAAATGGTGGAAAAAACATGTTAACTATGGCAGGATATGAAATGTGACTGAAAAATAGGGCCCTATAACAGAAACATTTAACACACACACACACTGGGGAATGTATGAGTCTTTAGATGAGGATGTGCCATCTTATAATAATAATAATAATAATATGCCATTTAGCAGACGCTTTTATCCAAAGCGTCTTACATTCGTGCGTGCATACATTTTTTGTGTATGGGTGGTCCCGGGGATCGAACCCACTACCTTGGCGTTACAAGCGCCGTGCTCTACCAGCTGAGCTACAGAGGACCACAGATATGATAACTAACCTGGATTTGCAAGTTAGGTAGCTAGCTAGCATTCAGGGGCTTGGTCTGCTAACCCAAAACAACATGCCTGTTCTCATAAAAGTCGATTGTATATTTTCAAGGGCAAAAATAAATGAAGGATGGTACTTGTCTACTACAAATATACACTGAACAAAAATAATAACTATTTAAATAACGGTCGGGCTTCGACCCCTGTTATCATATAAGACATGGAAGAATTTGCAGAATTGCTGGAAATGAGCTTGAAAACAGCAAACAAATTCTCTGCCCAATGCAAAATGTGTAGAATTGCAGGAAATTAGCTTTAAAACTGCAACATTTTCTCTCCTCCAACAAGAGGGGTGTGAACAGTTTGGGGTTGCATGGGTTGCGAGGTGGGAGTTTGTTACTACGCCGATTAATGACAACATCCATCCAGACCTTTGCCACCTAGGACATTTCTGTGACCGGACCTTCTCAAATAGTACTCGAGTACCCCTGCTCTATATAGTGCACTACTTTAGACAAGAGCCCTTGGGCCCATTTAGTACCCGCCCTCTGCCTTATGTAATCTTATAAAAAACAGGAATGACAGGTAAGTGCCCTTGTTCAATATTTTGATGCGATCGAACAGTGAATGGGATTATGGCTTTGTTATTGTAATGTTTAAGGGTGTATGTGCTGTTATGGGTGTTGTTGTTGATGGTTTCCTCTTTTTCAGTGGCGGGACGCTGTTGACCATCACTGGCACCAACCTGGCTACCATCAAAGAGCCCAAGATGAGAGCCAAGTACGGGAAAGCCCAATCTGTTAACGTGAGTACTACTGACCCAACACGCCTACAAACTGCACGCATGCACATGCACACAGTCTTGTATAGCTAACCTTGTGAGGACACAAAATTCAGTCCCATTCAAAATCCTATTTTCCCTAACCCTAAACGTAACCCTAACCTTATCTCCAAAACCTAACCTTAACCCTACCCCTGAACCTAACCCTAGCTCCTAACCCTTCATCTAACTCCTAAACCTAATTCTAAATCTAACCCTAAAACTAATTCTAACCTTAACCCTAAGCCCCCCTTGTGGGTACTAACAATGTCCCCAGTTGGTCAAATTTGTATTTGTTTACTATTCTTGTGGGGACTTCACAAGTATAGTTAAACACGTCCAGGCAAACAGATGCGCACACACACACACCTGACCCGGTGGTCACCCAGCCCAGGGCCTATTTATGGGTGTGTGTACGTGTGTGTTTTTTATGGTGAATCTCCTTTTAGCAGGTTAACCTTTGAAATGTCAACCAGAAATAAACCTGGGCTGTCTGGTAAATCCCTCTATCCCTCCGTCACCTAGCACCACAGGGCTAGGCTAACCTTTTCTCTTTTAGTCTACCCTCCCCCATCCCCCTCTCTCTCTCTCTACCTGCACAAAATATCCCAGACCAAAACAAAGCGTGTTTTCCTGCTTTTTCCCTCTTCCGTGTCACCACTTTTATCCGTCTTCCCTTTTCATCTGTCTTCCGTGTTTGCCCCGTGCAATTTCAGACTTCGTTAGCATACGCTAGCTAATGCACTGTGATTACTTGGCATGCCAGAGGGAGGTTGGATGGTATGTTGGGGAAAAGTAGAGCAGTGAGACGACCCAAACGTTTCCAAAGCATGCTTTTAGGATTGTTTGTTAGCATGTTAGCATCAGTCCCGCTAACCCTTGGATATGCCCTTACTGTCTCAGTCGCTCTGCATTAATGGAAGCGGGGAATGTTTAGCCCACAGGGGCAAACAGCAGGAGATGGTATTGGCTTTTTTTGTTTTGTTATGTTTTTGTTTACATTTTTGTTTAGATTATGAAAGCTATGACTTCACTGTACATAATGAACCTATCCACTGTCCTCTCTCAGCACTGATGTTACTCAGATTATTAGGCTTTTATTATGTCAGTGTACTGTTACATAATGAATTTATCCACCGTTCCCTTTTTTGTTTTGTTGTGTTTTTTCTACATTTTGTTAGCATTTTTATTTACATTATGGAAGCTAACATTTAAATGTAATCGTATGTACATAATGAACTTATCCATCCTCTCGCTCTCTTCTTCTTCAGAACTGCACAGTGCTTAACAACACGGTGATGGTGTGTCTGGCGCCCTCTGTGGCTGTCTCGGAGAAGGGCTTCTCCGAGACGGGCAGCGGTCCCGATGAGATCGGCTTCATCATGGACAACGTGCACACCACACTGGTGGTCAACGAGACTTTCAGCTTCTACCCGGACCCTGTGATAGAGCCGCTTAGCTCCACGGGCCTGCTGGAGCTCAAACCCAGCTCCCCACTCATCCTCAAGGTGAGACTGATGGAGATTGAAGCCCAGGGTGGGGGAGGAGGGTCCAGCAATGTAGAGTGGGGCCCAGGGTGGGGGAAGGTCCCAGGGTGGAGTAGGGGGATTCTGAGGAAGCTACCAGGGTGGAGTGTTATTCTATGGAGCGTGGGGCCAAGGGTGGAGGAGCATTAAAGAGATAAAAAATCTCTCCCAGGGAGGAGAGATGACACTGTATGAATGCCGCCAGGTTCAATTGTAACCATCAAACTGTAGACTTCAATCTCACCAACCGACTCAACTTAGAAAAGCTGCGTCCAATATATTTAGAAAATGACATTGATAGAAATTTGAATTGCCCTCTCTCTTAAAACATTCCATCGGAAATGGTCGTCCTATTTATTTGTTTCATACCACCCTTTGAGCTATTGCCTTTTCAAAAGAACGCTTTGAGACTCGACATCACCTTAAAAGGCGCTACCTGTGCCGTTCCCTGCTGTGATAGGGCGAGAGCACTTTGAAAAGTATCATCCAAATACACCACAGATATGCCACTTGCCCCTGTTCCCCAATCAGATATCTTCAGAGCAAGTTCACAGCCAAATGTTCACTTTATACCAGAGGCATTCTCAACGGCTTTGAATCCCTCTCGCGCTTATATCCTGACTCACTTATTTTGTCATCTCTCCTTGAACTTCAAAGCCGGTCCTCTGAAGAAAACTCCACCGTGATACTGTATATCATGGATATTTTATATGAAATAAGCTTTATTTTCCTTATAGCCAATCAGAAACGATCTGGGGAGTTGAGAAAATTGTGACCCTCACAGTTTAAATAAAGATTCCATAATGAACCCTACAACCCTTTGATTGCTGCGTCTTCCGTTTCTCTGAGAAGCCGGAAAATAAGGAACGGGAATGGTGGTGGGGGGAACACATAAATCCGGCATCCTATTAAATAATTGTGGATAAATTAGATGTGCATCAGATTTTCCAAGCAATTAATTCCTCTCCCTGCAAAGCCTTGTGGATAAGGGGGAGGTGAGGGGGGGGGGGGGGTGGAGACGTGTGTTTGGAGGGTTTATTTACCCCTCTAATTGGTTCCCTCTCGGCCAATGAGACACAGCGAAAGCCCCCATCAGGCTCAACTAAACGCCACCAGAATCCCAGATCCCATATCGCTAGATCTTGACTTTACTAAAGAACCGCTTGTGGGTAATAAGGCCTTGCTACAGTATCTGTGGAATTAGAACTCGATCATCAGAAATCACACCCTATATGTATGATTAAGTAGGTATGCACATGAATGATGGTTAGAGGTGAGAGTGTGTGTGTGTGCGTGCATGCTTGCGTGTACACAATATATGTGTGTGTGTTGAGTTTGTGTTGTGTGTGCACATGCGTACCTATGCATTTTCCTGAGCTCTGTCTCGGTCTCTCTCCTAGGGTAAGAACCTAATCCCGGCGGCCCCTGGTAACTCTCGTCTCAACTACACAGTGCTGATCGGAGACACACCCTGTGTCCTCACCCTGTCAGAGAGCCAGCTGCTCTGTGAGTGGCCCAACCTCACCGGAGAACACAAAGTCACCGTAAGTACTCTACACTACCCTCTTTGACTTTGGGTTGGGTTGTGTAGAGTTGGGTTGTGCTGTGTGTCGTCTTATGCGTTATTGGATCACACTGTATCATAATCACGTTTCATCTCTCTGGTTTTCACTCTTTACTTCCTCCTTCTGTTCTATACTATTTCAATATAACATGACAATCCTGTCTCCTCTTTTCTCATATCATATGTCCTCTATTCTTTCCTCTTATCTCTTGCCACTTCCTGTCTAGAGGCAGTTCAAAGGAAGAGGAGAGGAGAGGGAGAGAGAATTAGAAGGATGGACTTTTTTATTCTCTTCCTGTCTTCCTGTCTTCTTTTGAGCTACCGCTCTCTCTCCATTGCACTCTTCTTTTTTCAGTTCGTACACAAATCCACACACATTCAGGCTTCTGGTACTTAACATTGACTGGGTTTATAGGCACGTCAACCTGTTGAATTCAATTCTTAATTTAGCTTCATTTCTGCAGGGATTTGCATAGACATTGATATCCAATGCAGCCCAGAAATGACTTGTAGCCAAAGAGGTCCATATCTATATTTTACAGTCCCTCGGTTACATGTTGCGTTTCATAGATATAGGCCAGCAAAATACAATGAAAGGCCTTTACCGTTATGTTCTTTATTTGAAAGGGTTACTAAGGGTGCGTCTCAATGCACTAGTGTAGTTTCCTCTCCTCGTCTCCTTTTATTCTTCTGCATTGATTACCACAATGTTGTGACAAGGAAAGGAATTTGGGCTGCAGCTTAATAGCCTAGTTTTTGGAAGTAATGTTACACTGAACAAAAATATAAATGCAACAATTTCAAAGATTTTACTGAGTTACAGTTCATATAAGGAAATCAGTCAATTGAAATAAATTAATTAGGCCCTAATCTATGGATTTCACATAACTGGGAATACAGATATGCATCTGTTGGTCACAGATACCTTTTTTAAAATGTAGGGGTGTGGATCAGAAAACCAGTCAGTATCTGGTGTGACCATTTGCCTTATGCAGCGCAACACATCTCCTTCACATAGAGTTGATCAGGCTGTTGATTGTGGCCTGTGGAATGTTGTCCCGCTCTTCTTCAATGGCTGTGCAAAGTTGCTGGATATTGGCGGGAACTGGAACACGTTGTCGTACACGTTGATCCAGAGCAACCCAAACATGCTCAATGGGTGATATGTCTGGTGAGTATGCAGGCCATGGAAGAACTGGGACATTGTCAGCTTCCAGGAATTGTGTACAGATCCTTGCGACATGGGGCTGTGCATTATCATGCTGAAACATGATGTGATGGCGGCGGATGTGCATTCAAATTGCCATCGATAAAATGCAATTGTGTTCGTTGTCCGTAGCTTATTCCTGCCCATACCATAACCCCACCGCCACCATGGGGCACTCTGTTCACAATGTCGACATCAGCAAACCACTCGCCCACACGACGCCATAGACTGTCTGCCATCTGCCCGTTACAGTTGAAACAGGGATTCATTTGTGAAGGGCACACTTCTCCAGCATGCCAGTGGCCATCGAAGGTGAGCATTTGCCCACTGATGTCGGTTACGACGCCGAACTGCATTCAGGTCAAGACCCTGAGATGTTTAGGACAGTTTGTGCAGAAATTCTTCGGTTGGGCAAACCAACAGTTTCATCAGCTGTCCGGGTGGCTGGTCTCAGATGATCCCGCAGGTGAATAAGCCGGATGTGGAGATCCTGGGCTGGTGTGGTTACACATGATCTGCGGTTCTGAGGCCTGTTGAACGTACTGCCAAATTCTCTAAAACAATGTTGGAGGTGGCTTATGGTTGAGAAATGAACATTCAATTCCCTGGCAACCGCTCTGGTGGACATTCCTGCAGTCAGCATGCCAATTGCACGCTCCCTCAAAACTTGAGACATCTGTGGCATTGTGTTGTGTGACAAAACTGCACATTTTAGAGTGGCCTTTTATTGTCCCTAGGACAATAATAAGTAATGATCACGTAATGATCACGCCGTTTGTTTAATCAGCTTCTTTATATGCCACACCTGTCAGGTGGATGGATTATTTTAGCAAAGGAGAGATGCTCACTAACAGGGATGTAAACAAATGTGCACAACATTTTAGAGAAATAAGCTTTTTGTGCATATAGAACATTTCTGGGATCTTTTATTTCAGAAATGGGACCAACACTTTACATGTTGCATTTTATATTTTTGTTCAGTGTAGTTATAGAGTTGAAGCTAGGGCTCGGGTAATTCATACGGGGCAAAGGTAAGACTATTGGTTCTAGCCTGGGCATTGCGACAAGGAAAGGTATTAAACTAGGTTTGGCATATGCTCACGGACGGACAGACACATACACTAACTTTGTAGTGTAGCGCTAGTGTTACAGGCTTTGGTTTTTCAATTTATGTTTTGAGGTTGGTCTTTAGCTCGTTAGCACGTAGGGCGCACCAATTGGTGTCGACTCATTAGTCAGTATGTGTTACACCTGTGCTGGTTGCCATCTCGTTAGTGTGAAGGTGTTTTACCTGTGCTGGCCCAGGTGCTATTTAAGAGTGGCTGGCCCAGTGCTCCAGTTGTCTTGAGAGAAGTGGAGGGTCAGCACCTTTTAGTTTGCTCTCCATATTTGATTTCTAGAAAAACATTCCTTTGTCTGATTTCCCTGATTTCGTTTTGCTCCACCTTTTTGGTTTGTTTCCTGTCTTTAAGTTTGGTGTGGGTTTTTCTTTTGTTTGCCTCTTCTTGGGCACATTTAGTCGGCGCTCATGGTGGGTGTCTTTTAGGTTCCAGTTGTTGTTTCTAGTCAACTTTCAGTGGACACCCCCATGATTGTCTTTCAGAACCCCTCCTAAAACCACACCTGTTTTGTTTTGGTTGTTGGTCAGTGACTTTGTTAGTTCCCACTTCTGTTTGAGCAACATTTTTTGTTTTCTTGCTGGGGAACGTAACACTAGCATGTGTGACAGACACTCTGGATGGCTTGTTGGGGTCTGCCTGTGCACATTGCTGCTGTTAAATTGACATTTCCATAAATGTATACTTCGTATTCATCATCTCCAGCACCACCCCAACGTCAACATATGTTGAAAATGTTTTGCTTTTCTATGTTTTGTCGTAAAAATGATAGAGGAAGATAAGTGTTTCCAATAACATCATCAACCAATTAGTAGGCAATGCCTATTCATAATTGGTTAACATCACATGATGCACACCAATGATGTCATTGGAAACACCTATATTCCTCTATCTTTTTTACTACAAAACATAGAAACGCGCCATTTTCACATACAGTATGTTGATGGTGGGGTGGTGCTGGAGATGATGAATATGAAGTTCCTCGCTGAGAGAGGGTTGGAGGTAATGAATGACTCTACAGAAACAGCAGCGAAAAAGAGCTGGAAGTCCTGTGTGTGTACGCGCACTCTATTTCTGTTAAATTACATCTAATGCACCAGATGTGTCTGTCTGTGTTGAAATGTGTGTTTTAAAGTTATTGTCCTATGAAGAATCTAAACCAGTGTGTGTTTCACCCCCCAAGGTGCGAGTGGGGGGCTTTGAGTACTCCCCCGGTACCCTCCAGATCTACTCTGACAGCCTGCTTACCCTGCCCGCCATCATCGGCATCGGAGGGGGCGGTGGCCTGCTCCTATTGGTCATCATCGGCGTGCTCATCGCTTACAAGAGGAAGTCGCGGGACGCCGACCGCACGCTGAAACGCCTGCAGCTCCAAATGGACAACCTGGAGTCCCGGGTGGCGCTGGAGTGCAAGGAAGGTAAGCCACACCTGTCAATCAATTACATTCTATTCTATTCAATTCAACTTTATTGACCTATTCAGGACAAGGATGCTAAGCAACCGCTGTCAATCGACAAACAGTAGGCCAGGTTTCTAGCGACTTGAGGGGCTGCTGTACTGGTGGTGCAGGCAACGGTTCCAGCCCAGCACACGAACAGTCGATGAATTGTGGTCTTCCTAAGAAGAATACAAAACAAATCAAAGTAGGAGAGCAGGACAAGCTCATTATCCATGTACTACCTCTCCATCCAAAAAAACACACACACACAAAATGGCCCTCCCACTGGGTGCTGCTTGCTCTTGGTACCCGTCCAGAAGAACACTTTGATCGGGGCTCCGGCGCCAGATGTTGGGTTCCTCCCCATGCGAGGTCTGCTTAGAAGGCCTTTATGTTTAGGGAGAGCGAGAAAAGGGTGGGGGGAGATAGAGAGCGAGGAAGGGATGGAGAGTGGGGGGGGGGGGGGGGGGGGGGTGTCTGCAATGCATAATCTCACATTTATTCACTTGGCACACTCCTGATCTGGTGGGAGGCCAGTGATACTGTCAGTCTGTCTGTTTGGAGAGAGACAGCGGGAGAGAGTAGAAATAGAGTAGATTGATTTTAGGCTACCATAGCTCAGTTGGTAGAGCATGGCGCTTGAAACGTCAGGGTTGTGGGTTCGATTCCCACGGGGGTCCAGTATGAAAAATGTGTGCACTCACTAACTGTACGTCGCTCTGGATAAGAGCGTCTGCTAAATGACTCAAATGTAAATGTAATAAAGATACAGTGCATTCGGAAAGTATTCAGACCCCTTTACTTTTTCCACATTTTGTTAAGTTACAGCCTTATTCTAAAATGGATTAGATAAAACATTGTCCTCATCAATCTACACACAATACCCCATAATGACAAAGCGAAAACAGGTTTTTAGATTTTTTGAAAATGTATAAAAAAATAAAGAACAGAAATACCTTAAGTATTCAGACCCTTTGCTATGAGACTTGAAATTGAGCTCAGGTACATCCTGTTTCCACTGATCATCCTTGAGATGTTTCTACAACTTGATTAGAGTCCACCTGTGGTAAATTCAATTGATTGGACATGATTTGGAAAGGCACACACCTGTCTATATAAGGTCCCACAAACCAAGCCATGAGGTCAAATTAATTGTCCGTAGTGCTCTGAGACAGAATTGTGTCGAGGCACTGATCTAGGGAAGGGTACCAAAACATTTCTGCAGCATTGAAGGTCCTCAAGAACACAGTGGCCTCCATCATTCTTAAATGGAAGAAGTTTGGAACCACCAAAACTCTTCCTAGAGCTGGCCGCCCGGCCAAACTGAGCAATCGGGGGAGAAGGGCCTTGGACAGGGAGGTGACCAAGAACCCAATGGTCACTCTGATAGAGCTCCAGAGTTCCTCTGTGGAGAAGGGAGAACCTTCCAGAAGGACAACCATCTCTGCAGCACTCCACCAATCAGGCCTTTATGGTAGAGTGGCCAGACGGAAGCCATTCCTCAGTAAAAGGCACATGACAGCCCGCTTGGAGTTTGCCAAAAGGCACCTAAAGACTCTCAGACCATGAGAAACAAGATTCTCTGGTCTGATGAAACCAAGATTGAACTCTTTGGCCTGAATGCTAAGTGTCACGTCTGGAGGAAACCTGGCACCATCCCTACGGTGAAGCATGGTGGTGGGGACAAGTCTCTGAATGTCCTTGAGTGGCCCATCAAACATCTCTGGAGAGACCTGAAAATAGCTGTGCAGCGACGCTCCCCATCCAACCTGACAGAGCTTTAGAGGATCTGCAGAGAAGACTGGGAGAAACTCCCCAAATACAGGTGTGCCAAGCTTGTAGCGTCATACCCAAGAAGACTCGAGGCTGTAATCGTTGCCAAAGGTGCTTCAACAAAGTACTGAGTAAAGGGTCTGAATACTTATGCAAATTATATTTAAGTTTTAAAAAATTTATACATTCGAAACAATTTCTAAAAACCTGTTTTTGCTTTGTCGTAATGGGGTATTGTGTGTAGATTGAGTGAAAAAATTAATGTAATCCATTTTAAAATAAGGCTGTAACGTAAGAAAATGTGGAAAAAGTCAAGTGGTCTGAATACTTTCTGAATGCACTGTAGATGGACAGAATGGGAGCGCTAGAGTAGAGATAGGTTTGAGGGTTTCATAAGGAGAGTAAAAGAGAGCGATAAAGAATTGGATAGGTTTGAAGGCTCCATAAGGAGAACCATACTGCAGCATGGTCACTTCTAGCATCTACAGAGAACCTAGAAGTGACCAATGCTATGCGTAAATATTTTCACAAGATAGCAAGACTGTAGCCTGGTTACCAGTCTGTTTAGCCAACATTCCACTCCTTATACTCTGTGTCATTGCCAAACAATGACCTGAGTACTAGGAGTGGAATGTTAGCTAAACAGACTGGTACCCAGGCTAGCAAGACTGGTGATATGAAGCATTCATAGTAACAATGCATTGTAGAGTAAAAAACACAGAATGCAGGAGACCAGGCTGTGGTACCTGTCATCACAATGGTCATCTCTGCCCAGCGCCACATGGCAACAGACACCGATTGGCCGCCGTCTCCACCACACTGTCCATCCAGGGGTCACCACCTTGTCTTTCCCCCACAGTCACCACAGATGGATTTAGAGCGACAGGGAGAGATAGATAAAGGGGCACAGGGAGAGATGGATAGAGCCCCAGAGAAGGGAGAGATGGATAGAGCCACAGAGAAGGGAGAGATGGATAGCGAGAGGGGGAGATACAGGTACGAATGGATAGAGAGATGAGGGGACAGAGAAAGAGAGAAAAGGGCATGAGGAGAGATGGATAAAGGGACAGAGAGAGGGGGAGATGGAAGGATAGGGGGGGTCACAGAGAGATGGATAGAGAAGGACAGAAAAAAAGTGTGCCCTCTCTGTGTGTGTGTGAGAGAGAGGGGACAGTGTTTACTTCCTTATTTGTTTATGGGGTTTCTTGAGTCAAGATTACACTGCAAGAGACATAGCTACATCATACAGAGAGATTATTCACACAGTTCTTTAGATGCCACTGAAAGAAATGGAGGGGACATACAAAGTCACAGGGCACACATGTATAAACAGTGAGACACACTGAGATATGCGGCCACTCTGCTGCATGGAGAGTTCTGGGGTCAGGAGGGAGGTGTGTGCGTAGGTGTGTCCATATTTCTTCCAGCTATTGGTGTACACTCTACTCTACCCGAGTTCACTTAAAAATCAGTCCAAAAATTATAACTTTTCTCCTACAACAACACTGACAAATATTTAACATGTGACCAATGTTAAAACTGTCAATACCCTAGTGTACGTACATTAACAATAGATCAACCATCTTTCTACCCCTCTCCACCTCCCTCCCTCTCCCCTCCCTTCTCTCTCCCCAGCCTTTGCGGAGCTGCAGACAGACATCCATGAGCTGACCCAGGAGCTGGATGGAGCTGGCATCCCCTTCCTGGACTACAGAACCTACGCCATGAGGGTCCTCTTTCCCGGTATCGAGGACCACCCCGTGCTCAAGGAGATGGAGGTACGGGTCAGTAACGCCCAGGGCCAGACATCCAAATCTTTAACATTCGTTGATGTTTTAGTTCTTAGGGGGGGGGCTTGTATTCGAGCCATGGTAACCCCACAGCCCTGCTGATCTAGGATCAGGTCCCCCCTCTTATTCATTATGATCTAATAGGCAAAACTGATCCTAGATCAGCACTCCTACTCTGGAACACTTTGTGAACACGGGCCCAGAGACCTTTCTAACACTCTGTGGAAACTTTGAGACTGATAGATGGCCATATCATGTCCAGGGTCTGAGACACAGGACTCACACATTCAATGAAACACTCTTCCATTCTGTTCCATTATTTCACCACCCAAGAGAGGTTATGTATCGATCACTCAACTGCACCACATTGCATCGTCACGTCAAGATAGCATGACCTACACCTATTACAATATCATCACACACACACAGATTACAAATACCATCACACACAATTACAAATATCATCACACACATAGACTCATAAGAAGGTGTTTTCTGGATGGTGCATGTATTGTGCGGTATCAGCTCTGAGGGGTGAGGAGAGAGAGGAGAAAGACAGACAGCATATCTACTAGCTATGAACTGTATTGCACATCTGTCTGGTGCCTAGCATTGGATTTTCATTTGTATCCCAGATGCAATCAGCCTCAACTGTAGTGCGCCAATAGAGAGAGAGAGGAGGGAGGGAGGTTTGTAGTTGTTTTGTTCATACAGCTTCATGGAGAGTGTGTGTGTGAGTTTGTGCCTGTGTGCACGACCAGACATCTGTGATATTGGGTATTTTGTACCTCAAAGACTGCTCTGCCCCCTCTCTCTGATAGGTTCAGGCCAATGTCGAGAAGGCTCTCACCCTGTTCGGCCAGCTGCTCACCAAGAAGCACTTCCTCTTGACATTCATCCGCACGCTAGAAGCTCAACGCTCCTTCTCCATGCGTGACCGCGGCAACGTGGCGTCGCTGGTCATGACTGCTCTCCAGGGCGAGATGGAGTATGCCACAGGGGTGTTAAAACAGCTTCTCTCAGATCTCATCGACAAGAACCTGGAGAGCAAGAACCACCCCAAGCTGCTGTTGAGAAGGTACGGTCCATCATTGGGTTGTGTTGGGTTGGGCTGGTCTATCTGTGTAGGAGGGGGAGAGAGGGTTAGAACCTGGAGAGCACGAACCACCCCAAGCTGCTGCTCAGGGTACGATCCGCCTAGGTTGGGGTGTGGTTGGGTTGAGTTGGGCTGTGCTATATATGTAAGGGGAGTAGGGAAGTGGGGGGTTTGACATAATCATCAAGAACCTGGAAAGCGAGTACCACCCCAAAGCTTCTGCTCCGAAGGTACTGTCCGCCTGTGTTAGGCTATGAGTAAGGGTGGATTGGGCTAGGCTATCTGCGTAGCCTATGGGGTTAGAATTTAGCCTGGTAGACAGGAAAGAGACAGGATTGAGCTGGCATAATTTAGCTATGAGCAGCTTAGTGGTTAGCAGTTTTTGTCTTCAGTTAACTGTTTGTTTTTTAATCAGTTAGCTGTTTTTGTTATAAGTTAGCCGCTTTAGTTATCAGTTAGCCGCTTTAGTTATCAGTTAGCCGCTTTAGTTATCAGTTAGCCGCTTTAGTTATCAGTTAGCCAATTTTGTTATCAGTTATCCGCTTTTATGTTAGCCATTTTTGTTATCAGTTAGCCGCTTTAGTTATCAGTTTTAGTTATCCATTAGCCATTTTAGTTATCAGTTAGCCATTCTAACGTGTGATAGGCCGTAGTGCTGAGACTAAAGAGGGCCGCTGTAGATGGCCAGGAACTGTAGCCTACCTCTCCTCACTCTCCCCCTCTCCTCCTTCCCCCCTCCTCAGCATTGTCTCTGTCAGGAAGGATTACACCCCTGAGCACACCCACTGACTCCCGCAGGAGGCCCAGCCACTCAGCCAGCCACACAGGGCAGACAGGACTACTGAGCCAGACAGACTGAGAGAGAGAGGGAGAGAGGGGGGGCAGGGAGGGAAGGAGAGGGAGAAGGCGAGAGAGATACAGGGGGAGAGAGAGAGGGATGAAGTCAGAGATGGGGAGAGAGTGAAAGGGGTTGTGGAGTGTGGAATGGGAGAGAATGACAGACAAAGGTGGATAGAAGGAGAGAGAGGGAGGGAGGGAGAGATGGAGTGCTAGTGGGAGGACGAATGACAGATTAAAGACAGAGAAAGAAGGTGATAGAGGAAGGTCAAGAGAGAGAGTGCACGGCACTGGGGAGAGAGAGAATGGAATGTTAATGCAGAAAATGGGAGAAATATCCCATGGGAGACAGAGACTGGTAATCAGTTGGGTAAGACTGAGAGAGAGACAGGAAGAAAGGGATAGAGAGAAATGATAGAGACAGGAATTAAACATGAAATGATGAAAAGGGGATGTTTGTCCCTCTCCATTGAGAGATGTGTAATTAAAATCGAATCAAATAAATGACTTTGAGCCAGTCTACTGCTGCGGTGAAATTGGCATGATGTTGCTAAAAGCCCCCCTGGAGGAATGTGGCACATACACTGTATCCTGGTTATGAAGACGACACACACATATGGGCGCACGCACACAGATTTGAGCTACAGAATTCCCTTTGTTGGTGTTTTTAGGTTTTAGTCTACACTATTCCAAAACATTTTCAATGTTGATTATGAATTATACTACACTCCCATCCACACACGCCCACACTCTCTTTCACTCACTCACCCACTCACTCACCCACTCACTCTCACACCAGATTAGTAAGGAGTTGGTTTCCACCAGTCCCCCAGTATTAGGTACGGTAGAGGCCAAAATCATGTTCTTTCCTGGTCCACTCTACTTTCAACCCCTCTCCTCTACCTCTCCCTCTCCTCTACCGCTCCTCTCCTCTACCGCTCCTCTCCTCTATGTGAAGGAAAAAGAAAACCACATTTTGCCCACATCAAACAAATCTGAACAGACTTCTAGGCAAATGGACTTCATGACTTTTCTTCTCACAATCTCTGCTCCCAGTCTCAACCCTGGATAACCTGCTAGCTGGCACATACACACACAGACACACACACACACACACAGTCCTTGATTCATCCTTTTCTGAGTAATCATAGTCTCTGGGAATGTATTATTCAAGAGACAGCAGCTCTGATTCTAAAAGGAGGGACAGAGGAGGGGGTGGGTGAGAGAAACAAACCATTTCCCCTGAAGTCCCTTCCTCTCATACTGTGTCACACACATACGCACACACACACTCTTCCCTCGTCATTGTTAACAAATTTGATGTAGTAAGTCGCGTTAATTACAATGCCCTTTAATTACTTGTGTTTTTAACTTTCTTTCTGGAGGGGGGAACCTTTCTGGAGGCTCCTCATTACGCGCCAGGTTGGTGATTAGCAAGAGACGTTAACAAATTAGACTAATTGCTGTGTTTTTAATGAAAATTGCTGGGTTTGCTTTGAAAAAATTAATGTGGGTTTTGTTATTTGAGTTAATTTGTTTGTTTGCAGAGGGGGGGGTTTGAAGGATATAGCCTACCCGCTTTCCGTGGAATAATTTTATGTATGCTCTTTGAAGTGAACGTCCATGTTAAATACCTTTTCCCAGGGAAAATGGTGTGTGTTCGCCCTAAGTTACTAGCCCGAGGGGAGGTTGGTCGCTTGTTACTAGGAGGAAGAGGAAGTCACGTCAAAATCTCCAACCCTTGTACAGTCGTTCCTCTATCAGTCATGTGTTGGTTTATGTTTTTGCCATTAAAACTTTGTCATTCCAAAAGATACCGTTTTTGTCTCCCCTTCCATCCTCTTTCCCCTTCCTTACCTCTTCTCTCTTTCTCTCTCTCGCTCTCTCCTGTAGAACTGAGTCGGTTGCTGAGAAGATGCTCACCAACTGGTTCACATTCCTCCTCTACAAGTTCCTCAAGGTAAGTCTGTCAGTGACGCAAGCACGTGTTTCGTGTTCATCAGGCACCAAAGTGAAGAAAACTAACTGAAACAGGGAGGGACTATCTGGATTTGTCCAATAAGAAAGGCTTATTTTTGCTTTCCGTTGCAATCTCTTTCTTCTGCTCTGAATTGATACATCTACTAAAGTCTCAAGGAAAAGAGGAAAAACACAGAAGTAAAGAACCAGTTGGGTGGAAGGAGCAGAGAAAGGAGATGGAGAGGAAAAGGGTGAAGCCAGGGGGAGAAACTAGCAAGAGTTGGTGAGAATCCCTGTGCTGGGGAGTAGTCGGAACAATAGAGGAAGGGGAGAAAAGGAGAGAGGCCCTCTAGCCCTCCTCTCATTGCCTCGTTTCACGCAGCAGAGTGCTTTTATACTCCTGACTCATTAACCTTCTATTAACCCCTCCATCTACTGCCACTAGCATTCTCTCAACGTTGGCCCCAAGCTGAGTGTACATTTTAACACGTTCTACCTTGTTAAAGGCTGTTTTTCCCCTGGTTAAAATGCACAGGGGAGAAATTGCTACCCGGGAGTGGGCCACTTGTCACTGTGCCAATAGGCATGGGAGGCTTGCTACGACCTTATCGTTTAGCAGTGCCGTAGGTAGTGTGGCTAACAGCAGATTGGAATGCACTAGTTTTACCTTTGATGTATTATCAAACTTGACTTTCTCAAATAAAAAAACATACTTGTTGTCTTGCGTTTGAAGACTACTCTATGTCCTATTGTTTCTGAAATACTGAGATTAGGGTTGTGTGTATGTATCAGTGACATTTATGTGTGTGTAAGTGACGTCTTACCTTTGCCCCTGTGTGTGTGTGTGTGTGTGTGTGTGTGTGTGTGTGTGTGTGTGTGTGTGTGTGTGTGTAGGAGTGTGCTGGCGAGCCCCTGTTCATGCTGTACTGTGCCATCAAGCAGCAGATGGAGAAGGGGCCTATAGACTCCATCACTGGAGAGGCACGCTACTCACTCAGCGAGGACAAGCTCATCAGACAGCAGATTGACTACAAGACCTTGGTCAGTACCGCAATCACAGCTTGAATCACAAAAATAAACAGAACACTTTGACATTATCTCACTGAATCAAGTCATTGCTCTGAGAACCATTCGTCTGGCTAGCTAAGTAATATATTAGCTAGAATAGCATAGACGTCAATGAAGCGACTTGGCATAACAATATAATATAGGTTAATATGTTATATTAAACATAGTAGCTAAACTGTCGTGTATCACACAGTGTCACCTCACACGCCCACACTAATCGCTCTGCTTCAAGCCTCTAGTCCAGTGAGACTTCCCCCTCCCAATCTGACCTTTACCCGCACCCCACATACCCTCTAGACCCTGCACTGTGTGAACCCGGAGAACGAGAATGCCCTGGAGGTGACGGTGAAGGGGCTGAACTGTGACACGGTGACTCAGGTGAAGGAGAAGTTGCTGGACGCAGTGTACAAGGGCAGTCCCTACTCCCAGAGACCCAAGGCTGGAGACATGGACCTAGGTGAGGAGGACACACACACTTATGAGCACACACACACCTGCATACGCATCATACACAAACACACACACAAATGAATGCATGCAGACACACGGACACACACACTAACACCCCTCTCTCTCTCTCTGTCCCTTGTGTGTGTGTTCAGAGTGGCGTCAGGGCAGGATGGCCCGGATCATCCTCCAGGATGAGGACGTCACCACCAAGATAGACAACGACTGGAAGAGACTCAACACACTGGCCCACTACCAGGCAAGTCTCTCATAATTTAGGGTTAGATCTCAAAGTTGACTAAGTCATGTTGTTTAATCAATCAGTCAATCAATCAATTAATCAATCAATCACATTTGTATTTGTAGGACAGTGCATTTGGAAAGTATTCAGACCCCTTCACTTTTTCCACATTTTGTTATGTTGTTTTCCTCATCGATCTACACACAATACCCCATAATGACAAAGCAAAAACCGCTTTTTAGAATGTTTTTTTAAATCCTTATTTACATAAGTATTGAGACCCTTTACTATGAGACTCGACATTGAGCTCAAGTGAATCCTGTTTACATTGATCATACTTTGAGATGTTTCTACAACTTGATTGGAGTCCACCTGTGGTACATTCAATTGATTGGACATGATTTGGAAAGGCACACACCTTTCTATATAAGATCCCACAGTTGACAGTGCATGTTAGAGCAAAAACCAAGCCATGAGGTCGAAGGAATTGTCCGTAGAGCTCTGAGATAGGATTGTGTCGAGGCACAGATCTGGGGAAGGATACCAAAACAATGATGTAGCATTGAAGGTCCCCAAGAACACAGTGGCCTCCATCTTTCTTAAATGGAAGAAGTTTAGAACCACCAAGACTCTTCCTAGAGCTGGCCGCCTGGCTAAACTGAGCAAACGGGGGCATTGAAGGGCATTGGTCAGGGAGGTGACCAAGAACCCAGTGGTCACTCTGACAGAGCTCCAGAGTTCCTCTGTGGAGAGGGGAGAACCTTCCAGAAGGACAACCATCTCTGCAGCACTCCACCAATCAGGCCTTTATGGTAGAGTGGCCAGGTCGAAGCCACTCCTCAGTAAAAGGCACATGACAGCCCGCTTGGAGTTTGCCAAAAGGCACCTAAAGACTCTCAGACCATGCGAAACAAGATTCTCTGGTCTGATGAAACCAAGATTGAACTCTTTAGCATGAATGCCAAGCGTCACATTTGGAGGAAACCTGGCACCATCCCTACGGTGAAGCATGGTGGTGGAAGCATCATGCTATGGGGATGTTTTTCAGCGGCAGGGATTGGGAGACTAGTCAGGATCGAGGGAAAGATGAACGGAGCAAAGTACAGAGAGATCCTTGATGAAAACATGCTCCAGAGCGCTCAGGACCTCAGACTGGGGTGAAGGTTCACCTTCCACCAGGACAACGACCCTAAGCACACAGCCAAGACAATGCAGGAGTGGCTTAGGGACAAGTCTCTGAATGTCCTTGAGTGGCCCAGCCAGAGCCCGGACTTGAACCCGATCTAACATCTCTGGAGAGACCTGAAAATACCTGTGCAACGACGCTCCCCATCCAACCTGACAGAGCTTGAGAGGATCTGCAAAGAAGAAAGGGAGAAACTCCCCAAATACAGGTGTGCCAAGCTTTTAGCGTCATACCCAAGAAGACTCGAGGCTGTAATCGCTGCCAAAGGTGCTTCAACTAAGTACTGAGTAAAGGGTCTGAATACCTATATAAATGTGATATTTCCTTTTTTAAATAATTTTTTTATATAAATTTGCAACCATTTCTAAACACCTGTTTTTGTTTTGTCATTATGGGGTATTGTGTGTAGATTTATTTATTTTTATTTATTTTTTAATCCATTTTAAAATAAGGCTGTAACGTAACAATGTGGAAAAAGTCAAGGGGTCTGAATATTTTCCGAATGCACTGTACTTTACAATGACAGATTTACAAATATTTCTGCATTGGTGTCTGCAGCCACAAATTCATGGGTGTTATATCACCAATTTCCCCTCTATTATGTGTAGGCCAGTGACACAAAATCTCAATTGCATCCATTTTAAATTCAGGCTGTAACACAACAAAATGTGGAAAAAGTCAAGTGGTGTGAATAGGGCTGTGGCGGTCATGAATAACTGCCAGTCTCACGATAATTGACCCTTAATTAGCATAAACACGTTTAGCATCTTCTGTCTTCCACGCACAGCCTACAAGCCACTGATGCAGACCTTTGGAACATCTACATTTTAAAAAGGTGGTCCTCTGTAGCTCAGCTGGTAGAGCACGGCGCTTGTAATGCCAAGGTAGTGGGTTCGATCCCCGGGACCACCCATACACAAAAATGTATGCACGCATGACTGTAAGTCGCTTTGGATAAAAGCGTCTGCTAAATGGCATATTATTATTATTAAAAAGTCTAATAAATCCATTTAATACACCATCACAATAAATCCATTATTTATTTTAGACAGGTCTAAAAAAACATGATGAAAATGTAGTCTTTTTCAGAAGAACATAATAGCAAACTCTGAGTTGTCCTGATATGGTTATGCCATATGGCTGTGGGCTACACTAGTTCATTTAGCAGACAAGATTTGCTTAGAATTCCGTGGCATTAGTTTTTGTTGTTTTATAGTATGAAAAATACAATTGAACGTAGCTTAATAAAATAGAAAGGATATTTTCTCCAAATGATTTTAAAGGAAGTGTACACATGCTGCTATTCTATGTTGAGCATTTAACAAAGAAACAGGTCCTCCTATATGCTTAATTTAGAGTTATTTATGCAACTTTAGTTGTGATACAAACGTTGGGCTATATGTTTTGATGTTTAATACATTCTAAGGCTGCATGATGCGACTCTAATGAGGATTTGAAAAAAGTTGCAAGCTGCACACACTTCATCAGTCTCTCATTCACAATTTGACAAGCACTTGATAATATTCTCACCAGGCCTCGAGTTTCCCGGCGGCTTCCCCCTTGTGTGGTCGTAATGCCCCTTAAAAAATCCATGCCTTTTGCGGCCAAAGTGGCTAATTATAATTCCCTTCTCCTAGCTGCCGTGTTCCGAAGCAACTCTCACTCACATGGCTCTCTCAGATGTAGCCAATGCCCGTCAAGTGATGGGGTCCTTCTCACAGGCATTTCAGCTAAAAGTAGGCTACAAGTGAATGAAGACTGACACATCGGGGACGCAACTGCGCGCGTCCCTCTTATCGAATTCTGAGGCACATATTGAAGATATTAGAACTGTCCACATTTAGCCTACATTTCATCAGCCAACAAGATGAGTAGGCCTAATGAACAGCAACAGCACTAGCCTATGTCAATCTACTCTCCCCCATAGTACAAAAGTTCACCTATTCTGTGCGAGAAATAAATATTCCAAACATACTCTGGGACAGTTGTGGGATGCAATAGATCCCAAATTAATACAACCACTCATCAAAAAACCTTTTAAAAGCAAGGAGGCTGATCGTTTAGCTTAAAATGTTGATAAACTGTTAGGCTATTTTTTCACATGAGTGCAGCAATGCGCACACAGCAGTAGGCTATAAGCGCGAATGTTCCAAAATGCAATCAATTAGCGGGAAAAGACTGTTCTCAAAAGTGATGGCGAATGCAATTATGCATGTAATGCTTTATTATAAAGGAGCATTTTGATGGTGAAAATGATCTTCTCCAAACTCGAAACACGCGCAGCCTTTGTATGCCAGTTTGGCTCTACACCGGTAATAAAACTGATTTAATGTGCTTAATTAAAAAAGTTATTTGGCCACTTTAGTTGTGATACAAACCTTATCAAACATATAGCCCTATGGGCTAGGCTACATGAGGTGTGAGACTATGATTAGAAAAAGTAGCACAACAAAAAGGTATGCGCTGTTTCTTGCCTTAATGCACAAGCTGGGCATCATTCACAAGTGATAATATATAATTCACAAGTGATAGGCTAATATTGTCACCCATCAGACTATTCTTAATTTAATGTTGTCTTTACATATACTCAATTATATATGTGTGACTTTAGTTTTGATTTAGATTGGACCATTATCATGCACCTGTCTCAGAACAGGGGCATGAAAAAAAAAACATGTAATCTATGCACTTAAATAGCGAATGGAGGACACTTTTCCTGTGGTTCATTTTCATGCAAGCCAGGTAGGCTGTACTCGTATTGTAAAGCGAAGCAATGTGCTTAATATTAGGAAAGTTGATAAATAAATATATTAGGCCTAGCCTATAGAAAGCTGATGGTTCCTCTTTTTAATAGAGGCTACCAATACTGTTTTCTCACGCAATTGCATAGCCTATAGAAATGTTGAGCAACATGAGCTCATGGGCACTCATTAAGTGTTTGATTAGGTTTTCGAACACATTTGCATTGATGTCAGAGTGATTAGAGGGACAAAAGAGTGCTGAGTACCAGGCAGTTAGCAAGTTCGGTAGGCTACTAATGACCATCAGCAGCATCAGAGCGCAGTTTTGGAGAAGCCTAATTACGTGACTAAACGGTCACATGGAATTTGACTGCCGTCATGACTCGCCGGTGTGGCGGTAATACGGTCACCGTAACAGCCCTAGGTGTGAATACTTTTTGAAGCACTGTCCATGGAAATAAATGGGTCGTTCCACGAACTGAGTCCCTTTTGGGTAGTGTAACTTAGTGAAAAAAACTTTATTTCACCTAATTTGTACATTCTGTCATGACGAGCACATGTTCAACTAATACAAAATGTTTTCCCATCTCAAGAGGTTAAATAAAAACAATGACTATAGTAATTGCCTATTAAAGGAAAGATTCGCCCATTTTGAAGGTTATTTCGTATTTGTGCATCTCTGAGGCGATGTTCTATCGTTTGCTGGGGTCATACCGGCTGTATTTCTGGCTGCTTGAACGGCGAATATCTCAGATACACATGAAAACATGAAATGACTCCGTGAATCGTTAGAACATCGCTCAGAGATGCACAAATACAATATACCATTAAAAATAGGTGTATCTTTCCTTTAAGTGCCAAATTAAGTAGAAGGGTTGACTCTAATAGGGTTGACGATTTCATCTTAAATCACCCATTAATCCCCTTGTGACAGGGGGAATGGAAGCTTGTTGTGTGCAACAGGGAGGGGCAATTGAATGCAAGCTTCTCCAAAAAAATATCAAATTGTTAACATTCTTCTAGCCTGTCTATGGGTAACAGGGTTTACGTGTTATGCTCGACCCACTTAGTTTTCCACCACAAAACACCAGAAAATAGCCAAAAAGAGTAGAACCAGCTCACCTGCTTTTACACTATGATTTGACTATTAGATGTTCAATGTTTATTTTTTTTTACTTTTTAAAAATAAATCGTTTCACCATATAACATTTGGAGTTCAGTTGACCTAACACGGTTGACCTCAAAATGAGGGACTTGTTGTATTTTACCTTAAAATGAATCACCAATCACATGAAATAAATAATAATCTTCAGAAATCTTTGTCGTCTGTTCTTTCGACCAATCGATTGGTCAAAATATTAAAACGTGCATTTTTCCATATATAGACACATCCTTTATGTTTTGATCAAATCAACTATATGCACTGAGTTTGTCTGATGCTTTAGGAGCACTGTTTGATGAAATAATTAAGACACACAGATGACTAGAGGGAGTCCGACCGCAACTGATTTGATTGTGCTAGGCCGGGCTGAGACTTTCTGCGCTGTTATAAAAAAACAAAAACAAAAAACAGTGAATTACCGTGTGACTAGCACCCGTTGTCTGTCTCTCTCTCCTCCCTGCTGCAGTGACCACCAAAGAACATCAACAGTGTTTATCGCGCTGTCTGTGTTGCTGAAGCTGCATCATAATTACAGCCATTTCTGACTGAAAAGTTCTGTTACCGAAATCCCTCGTTTAGGAAGAACAATCCTTATGCCTCTCTTTTACATGACACATGACCAATAGGGCCTGACCTATAGCATGTCATAATCATATTAGTCAATTGCTTATAACAAACTCTGAACACCGTAACATGTGACAGCAAAATGGATGCAGATGATGTGACAAATAAACTCGAAACGGGGAAATGTTTGGTTGCTCAAGAGGTAAAGGGGAAGTCAGATGTGTGAAATAAACTTGACTAGTTGAGGGAAATACTGGAGATCAATAAAAATAAGGTAAGGAGCAAGCACCGCGTGCATATTATGCCAAACAGGTGCTGTTAGATTACAATGTCATTTTTCGGACCATTTGGAACAATGTAAACACCACTAAATTAATGATAAGGTACCAGAGTCTGTTGTAATGTTTTTATTTATTTATTGGGAAAACCTTTATTACAGCAAAGATTAAAAACCGTCGTATGCGTTCGTGAATGCAATTGCCGACATGGAACAGTTTATTTATTGTTTACACTAATTATTCAAGAGGGGCTTTGTTATTTGATTTTAAAACTAAAATGCTTGATTGCTATTGAAGTCGTATGCTGTGTTATGACATGAACGAATGAATGATTGATTCATACAGTAGCCTATATAAGTATTGAAATAAGTCAGCTACGGTATTAAGACTAGAAAGGATGTGCTCTTAGGCCTACAGCTCGATGGTGGTTATACAAGGCTGCTACTATAAGAAGCCTACTAATGATAATGACATTACTTATTATAATGATGATGATAATAATTGTAATACTAACAATAAGAAAGAGATCAAGAAAAAAGGTAATATAATAAATATAGTTTTTCTGACAATTTGGAAAATCCGTATTTGTGAAATTGTTTATCCAACATGGGATTGCATGAGGCTTGGTGCTCACGGAATCAGTAGGCTATTAAACACTCAAACAGGCAATGGAAGCAGGATCTGTCTTATTTCTATCTATATATATATATATCACACACACACACAGTTGAAGTCGGAAGTTTACATACACCTTAGCTTAATACATTTAAACTCAGTTTTTCACAATTCCTGACATTTAATCCTAGTAAAAATTCCCTGTTTTAGGTTAGTTAGGATCACCACTTTCTTTTAAGAATGTGAAATGTCAGAATAATAGTAGAGAGAATGATTTATTTCAGTTTTTATTTCTTTCATCACATTCCCAGTGAGTCAGAAGTTTACATACACTCAATTAGTATTTGGTAGAATTGCCTTTAAATTGTCAAACGTTTTGGGTAGCCTTCCACAAGCTTCCCACAATAAAGTGGGTGAATTTTGGCCCATTCCTCCTGACAGAGCTGGTGTAACTGAGTCAGGTTTGTAGGCCTCCTTGCTCGCACACGCTTTTTCAGTTCTGCCCACACATTTTCTATAGGATTGAGGTCAAGGCTTTGTGAGGCCACTCCAATACCTTGACTTTGTTGTCCTTAAGCCATTTTGCCACAACTTTGGAAGTATGCTTGGGGTCATTGTCCATTTTGAAGACCCATTTGCAACCAAGCTTTAACTTCCTGACTGATGTCTTGAGATGTTGCTTCAATATATCCACATAATTTTCCTTCCTCATGATGCTATCTATTTTGTGAAGTGCACCAGTCCCTCCTGCAGCAAAGCACCCCCACAGCATGATGATGCCACCCCCGTGCTTCACGGTTGGGATGGTGTTCTTCGGCTTGCAAGCGACCCCTTTTTCCTCCAAACATAGCGATGGTCATTATGGCCAAACAGTTCTATTTTTGTTTCATCAGACCAGAGGACATTTCTCCATGTGCAGTTGCAAACTGTAGTCTGGCTTTTTTATGGCGGTTTTGGAGCAGTGGCGTCTTCCTTGCTGAGCGGCCTTTCAGGTTATGTCGATATAGGACTCGTTTTACTGTGGATATACTGTAGATACTTTTGTATCTGTTTCCATGGTCCTTTGCTGTTGTTCTGGGATTGATTTGCACTTTTCGCACCAAAGTACGTTCATCTCTAGGAGACAAAATGCATCTCCTTCCTGAGTGGTAAGACGGCTGCGTGGTCCCATGGTGTTTATACTTAAGTACTATTGTTTGTACAGATGAACGTGGTACCTTCAGGCATTTGGAAATTGCTCCCAAGGATGAACCAGACTTGTGGAGGTCTACGATTTTTTTTTCTGAGGTCTTGGATGATTTCTTTTGATTTTCCCATGATGTCAAGCGAAGAGGCACTGAGTTTGAAGGTAGGCCTTGAAATATATCCACAGGTACACCTCCAATTGACACAAATGATGTCAATTAGCCTATCAGAAGCTTATAAAGCCATGACATCATTTTCTGGAATTTCCCAAGCTGTTTAAAGGCACAGTCAACTTAGTGTATGTAAACTTCTGACCCACTGGAATTGTGATACAGTGAATTATACGTGAAATAATCTGTCTTTAAACAATTGTTGGAAAAATTACTTGTCACAAAGTAGATGTCCTAACCGACTTGCCAAAACTATAGTTTGTTAACAAGAAATTTGTGGAGTGGTTGAAAAACGAGTTTTAATAACTCCAACCTAAGTGTATGTAAACTTCCGACTTCAACTGTATAATGATAAAAAGCTGGTTGAGAGAATGCCAAGAGTGTGCAAAGCTGTCATCAAGGCAAAGTGTGGCTACTTTGAATAATCTTTGTTTAACAACTTTTTGGTTACTACATGATTCCATATGTGTTATTTCTTAGTTTTGCTATCTTAACTATTATTCTACAATGTAGAAAATAGTACAAATAAAGAAAAATCCTTGAATGAGTAGGTGTGTCCAAACTTTTGACTGGTACTGTATATGGATGATTGATAAAGCCAGGCACATTTAACAGTTAGGCTGTTAATTATAGACCTAATTAAGTTGGTTTCCTCTCTCCTCACTAAAGAAATCAGACAGGTGTCTTTTTCTGCTACTCCTCGACTAAACAACAGCCTATCGACCAAACAATCGACCAGTCAACTACATGTGGTCATCCTTACTGCTATTCCAGATCATTCCACTGCTATTCCAGATCAAGTTGGCACCCATAGTAATATCTACCAAAGTGCTTTACATTATCACTCCAGTCACCAGCAATGTGTATCACTCTTTTTTGACCGTATGTCATGTGCAAAGTGTTCTGAGTGGTCAATACTTGTTTGTACAGTGCCTATACATGTATACCGGACAGTTTATTAGGTACACCATCTTATAACGGGTCGGACCCCCTTTTGCCTCCAGAACAGCCTTAATTCTTCAGGGTGTGAATTCTACAAGTCTGAAACGTTACACAGTGATGTTGGTCCATGCTGACGCGATGGCATCACGCAGTTGCAGCAGATTGGACGGTGGTATACCACCGCCACCAGCCTGTACCGTTGACACGAAGCAGGATGGGTCCATGGACTCATGCTGCTTACACCAAATCCTGAGCATGAGCAACAGGAACCGGGATCGTCGGACCATGTGATGTTTTTCCACTCCTTAATTGTCCAGTTGTCCAATTGTCCGCTGTTGTGGGTGGAAAGCCCAGGAGAGCGGCCATTTTTGAGATACTGGATCCGGTGTGCCTGGCACCGACGATCATACCACGCTCAAAGTCGCTTAGGTCACTGGTTTTGCCCATTCTAGTGTTATATCGAACAGTAGCCAAAGGCCTCAATGCCTGTCTGCCTGCTTTATATAGCAAGCCATGGCCACGTGACTCACTGTCTGTAGGAGCGATCCATTTTCGTGACCGGGGTTGTACCTAATAAACAAGCCGGTGAGTGTATATCTCTAACTGTTTTGATGTTCCCTATATTCCCAATCAGGTGACAGATGGCTCAGTGATCGCCCTGATGCCCAAGCAGAACTCTGCCTACAACATCTCCAACTCCTCCACCTTCACAAAGTCCCTCAGCAGATACGGTATGTGTTTGCGTTTAGACAGGCAGCCCAATTATGATTTTTTTAATCCACTAATTGGTCTTTTGACCAATCACATCCGATCTTTTCAGATATTTTTCAGCGCTGATCTGATTGGTCATAACACCAATTAGTGGAAAAAAAGACAGCCTTAGTGCTTTTCTGTGAATAGGTTTCAGAAAGCACTGTTAAACATGAGAAATAGAAACGATGCATGCGTGCCAAGTCTTGACAGTAAGGTTTGACAGTGACGAGAGTCATGTAAGTCCGCCACAGGACTGAGTGACTAGAGACTACTACCCCCCCCCCCCCCCATTCATATCCCATATCTCTCTTGACCCCGTCTCGTTCTCTTATATCCTATCTCTATCACATATTGCGTTCATCTGAATCCTAATCATGTCTCCTCTCCCCCATCTTCCCATCCAGAGAGTATGTTGAGGACGGCCAGTAGTCCAGACAGCCTGCGCTCCCGCACCCCCATGATCACGCCCGACCTGGAGAGTGGCACCAAGCTGTGGCACCTGGTCAAGAACCACGACCACTCGGACCAGCGTGAGGGTGACCGCGGCAGCAAGATGGTTTCTGAGATCTACCTGACCCGCCTGCTCGCAACCAAGGTAAAACAAAGTTAGACACTTTTCAGCTCTACAGTATTGCAGTGCTCACACACACACAGGCTGACAGGTAGGCAGGCAGGGTGATTGGTTGAGCCTTCTTGGGTGCGTGACAAAACACAAAACAATGGCAGACAATTTCTATCCCCTCGGATCTAAAACTAATTGTAACCACCAACTTCAATTACTAATATTCCCACACCCCAATAACATTGTCGCCGAGGAGGACTTGTTAGCTAGCTACAGGGTTTGAACTACCTCAGCCGTTTTCTTATAAAAACAGTACAGCTAGTAAAGCTAGCTAGCTAACTTTAGCTATGCTGCGTCTAGGCTCTGGAGCTCATGGGCACATAGACATGTCACATAGGCTTCAGGAGACAGCTGGTTAGATATGATTCCACCATTGGCAACAACAACTGGCTACTAGTTTGTTTTCAGCCAAATATGTTCAACTCATAGCGAGTTTATCCACCACATTTAGTAAGATAGCTACTGACTGAAACGTAGCTAGCTAGCATGCTGAATCACACTAGGGATTAATATTTTCCTGAAAATCTACAGAGTTTCAATACCGGGAATAATTCATATTTGTCCCGGGAAATACCGCAAAAATCAGAAGTACCCATTTCATGCATTTAAAACCAAGATAGGGTTACTCAGGGTTCTCCCAAAATAAGATTGTTGATGCGCCACATTGCCGTTTTGGCTGCGCCGCTATGTAAAGATTCTACAGCAAGGGAAACTGATATTTAGTAATGATAGAATAACTTTGATCGCCAATGACATTGTTGTGAATTGCGAAACAGGCCATTCATAAATTCAGAGCGTTATCATGTTCTTCAATTAATTCAGCGCATTCCAGCAGTAGGCTCGACACAGAGCACTCTCAGGACGCACAGAGCGCACCCTGAGTAGGCCATAGCGTTGTCGAATCATACAACCTTTGTAACGGCAGTCAAACGAAAGCCAATGACCGAAGTTGCTAAGCTTGCTAGATAACCTCCAACGAATGACAGAATATCTCCTATTTGGCAAAATTAAGTTGATGATTATACAGATAGCAGATCAGCTCATGAATAATGGGGAGATGAAGAGTGGAAATTGTTTTAATAGCAAGGTGGGGACCAACTCTGCAACAAACAAAAAAATCCATATCTACTCATACCGTTTCTTGAGCACACATTCTCTACCGAAGCTCTCATATGGGCAGCAATATGAGACAGTGCAGAGAAGCGGGGGAAATCTTTTGCCGGTATTTTGACATGCATAGGCGAGACGTGTTTTTATAACGCAACCTAAGGATTACAGAATAAAGTTAGGAATTTTCATGCGAGACAGGAGTCAGGATTTTTGGTTTCTGTGGGATTGGGACAATAGGAAAATAGCCTAGGCTCTATGTAAGGCTATATAGAGGCCCTAGGCTCAACACCGGTTTAAATCAATGTACTGGGATCACGGTTACCCATGTTAATCCCTAGCTAGCCAACTAATCATGGATTTCTTATTCTTTGATACATTTTGGTCAACTTGCTCATATCAAGCAACAGACAGTTTGTGGAAAGGTCAAAATAACAACTAGTGGACAAGTTTTCTGAATGATCGGACAGTGAAACTAAAATATATTGGTAGCTAGCTGGTGAGGCTTTCATTTATTTCACAATTAATGATGCTGAGGCTGGGTTTCCCAAGTCGTTCGGTGCTTACTGCTAATACCAGCGAGCAAGCTTAACAGACGGCTCTGCAGCGCGTTTGTGTGATTTTTCACACCCAAGGCTCATCCAATCACCCGACGTAACTCAGGAATATTAATGACTTTGCCTCCAGCTATCCTACGAAAGGAGGATAGCTCCTCCAATAAAGAAAAACAACACCCACCATCCCACTGTCCAAGCTCAAACCGCTTTCCTCCGACAGCCAGCTCTCTCATTGACCTTTGTTTCCCCGGCGACTGGCTCAGAGGCTCATTAACACTTTTCATAACCTTTTGCATGAGGAGGTGCAGCTCCCAAACGCTACGTTGTGTCTTAATTAGCAGCCTGACCTTTGGCTATTGAGCTGTTTGGTGTTAGCTGGAATCGGGTCCCAATCGAGAGGGGGGGGGGGGATTTCTCCTAGGACCTAGACCATTTTATTGGTACCCTCAAGGCAGTGTTTGAATTGATTAATGGGGGGGTTCATATTTTTGTTCTAGCCCAGCTCTAAAACACACCTTGGTTGAGTCAAGGGCTTCGAGATCAGTTATTTTGTGTTTGTGCTGGGCTAGAACAAAAATGTGCATTCCTTCAAGTCATCCGGGCCCAGGTTTGCTGTCCAGAGTTGCGTTCAGAAGGGTGCAACGTACCGAACATTCCAGATGGAAATGTCTCTTATTTCTATCTGATCGTTCCACAACGTGAATGCAGCCCAGACCATTTTGTTATGAGACTGGTGCTAGTGACACTAGTATTAAGTACTAGAGCCGGTGTTATGCTATTAACCGACAGTCTGTTACTTTCTGCTCCTCCATGCCTTGTTGGTAGCAGATCATCTACCAGGCGCAGGATGCCCCACAATACTATGCACTAATTTTCAGGCGCTAACAACGTTAAGGCATTTTTGCTCACCCTTGCAATTTCTCTCCCTCGTTGTTTTCTCATTATCTTGTGATTTCCATTGTTACTTCAGGTAGAAAGGTGCAAGGTTAGGAATTCGGGGGTTGGAGAGTTTTTAATCATTAACACAAGTGGGAGGACAAAAGGAGACTTGGCCAAGTGTAGTTTCTTCTTATTGTAATAGTGCCTGATTCTTTCGATTCTTCCCAAAAGTGCAATAATCCCCAAAGTGCACACCCTGCCCATCTGGCGCTCTAAGCAGCCTCAATCAAATGAAAGAAAACCAATACTATTTTCACCCAGGTCTGTGATTCATCTCTCCTAACCCCTCCGGCTTCCTTCTCGTCTCCCCAGGGTACGTTGCAGAAGTTTGTGGACGACCTGTTTGAGACTATCTTCAGCACGGCCCACCGAGGCAGCGCCCTGCCTCTCGCCATCAAGTACATGTTTGACTTCCTGGACGAGCAGGCCGACAAGCACTCCATTTCCGACTCAGACGTACGGCATACGTGGAAGAGCAACTGGTGAGTGGGTCAGGGCATTTTGTGCATGTGTGTTGGGTGTGTGTGAGACCGAGGGAGAAAGAGCAAGTGTGTGTGAGGCAGGTTGTCTAAGAGAGCGTTTGTGATGGTGTGCGAGAGAGGTTGGGTAATAGTGTTTTCCTTGCAGTGTTTAGGGGTGAGTGTTAGGGACAGAGGAGGCTGGTGGGAGGAGCTATAGAAGGATGGGCTATTTGTAATGGCTGGAATGGAACATCAAACATATGGAAACCACATGTTCGACTCCATTCCATTTACGCCATTCCAGCCATTACAATGAGCCCATCCTCCTATAGTTCGTCCCACCAGCCTCCTCTGTTTAGGGAGAATGTGTCAGTGCTTTTCTTAGAGTATGTGCAATAAGGTGGAGAGTGAGACTGAGATGAACTCAAATGTGTTCTCTCTGTCTTTCCCTCTCCTCCCCAGTCTTCCTCTGAGGTTCTGGGTGAACGTGATCAAGAACCCCCAGTTTGTGTTTGACATCCACAAGAACAGCATCACAGACGCCTGTCTGTCTGTGGTGGCCCAGACCTTCATGGACTCCTGCTCCACCTCAGAACACAAGCTCGGCAAAGACTCACCCTCCAACAAGCTGCTCTACGCTAAAGACATTCCCAACTACAAAAACTGGGTGGAACGGTACGGCTAGTAGCTTAGTAATGCACCTGGCAGGCATTTTGGATCAGGTTGAAAATGAGGCACTTAAATTCACTTGGTTTCAGTTGGATTAAAACATGTTTTATCCTCATTTCAAAACATTTGATGCATCATATGTTATATCATACTGTATGAAAGAGGAATGTGCACCCTTCAACATAAGGTATTTTGTAACTGTGTCTACCTGGTGTTGATAGGGTTAATGGTAAGCACCTCGATGACTGATTTGGTCTTTTGATCCTCTCTCCTATCCCTTATTTTTTGTAGTCCCCTTTCCCTCGCTGTCTCTCCCTTCTTTCTTTTTTTCTCCTTTAATCACCCTCCTTTAATGCCATTGTCTCTCTCAGGTACTATTCAGACATCTCGCGGATGCCCGTCATCAGTGACCAGGATATGAGTGCGTACCTGGCGGAGCAGTCGCGGCTCCACCTCAGCCAGTTCAACAGCATGAGCGCCCTGCACGAGATCTACTCCTACATAGTCAAGTACAAGGATGAGGTGAGGACAATGTCCGCCTTTTTAAAATCCTTTATTTACAAAGGATTGCACCCTACTTTGGAATATACAATGGCTTGCGAAAGTATTCACCCCTCTTGGCATTTTTCATATTTTTTTGCCTTACAACCTGGAATTAAAATTGATTTTTGGGGGGGGTTGTATCATTTGATTTACACAACATGCCTACCACTTTGAAGATGCAAAATATTTTTTATTGTGAAACAAACAAGAAATAAGAGAAAAAAACAGAACTTGAGCGTGAATAACTATTCACCCCCCCAAAGTCAATTATTTGTAGAGACACCTTTTGCAGCAATTACAGCTGCAAGTCTCTTGGGGTATGTCTCTATAAGTTTGGCACATCTAGCCACTGGGATCTTTGCCCATTCTTCAAGGCAAAACTGCTCCAGCTCCTTCAAGTTGGATGGGTTCCACTGGTGTACAGCAATCTTAAAGTCATACCACAGATTCTCAATTAGATTGAGGTCTGGGCTTTGACGAGGCCATTCCATGACATTTAAATGTTTCCCTTAAAACCACTCGAGTGTTGCTTTAGCAGTATGCTTAGGGTCATTGTCCTGCTGGAAGGTGAACCTCCGTGCCAGTCTCAAATCTCTGGAAGACTGAAACAGGTTTCCCTCAAGAATTTCCCTGTATTTAGCGCCATCCATCATTCCTTCAATTCTGACCAGTTTCCCAGTTCCTGCCGATGAAAAACATCCCCACAGCATGATGCTGCCACCACCATGCTTCACTGTGGGGATGGTGTTCTCGGGGTGATGAGGGGTGTTGAGTTTGCGCCAGACATAGCGTTTTCCTTGATGGCCAAAAAGCTCAATTTTAGTCTCATCTGACCAGAGTACCTTCTTCCATATGTTTGTCTCCCACATGCCTTTTGGCGAACATCAAACGTGTTTGCTTATTTTTTTCTTTAATCAATGGCTTTTTTTCTGGCCACTCTTCTGTAAAGCCCAGCTCTGTGGAGTGTACGGCTTAAAGTGGTCCTATGGGCAGATACTCCAATCTCCGCTGTGGAGCTTTGCAGCTCCTTCAGGGTTATCTTTGGTCTCTTTGTTGCCTCTCTGATTAATGCCCTCCTTGCCTGGTCCGTGAGTTTTGGTGGGCGGCCCTCTCTTGGCAGGTTTGTTGTGGTGCCATATTCTTTCAATTTTTTTATAATGGATATAATGGTGCTCCGTGGGATGTTCAAAGTTTCTGATATTTTTTTATAACCCAACCCTGATCTGTACTTCTCCACAACTTTGTCCCTGACCTGTTTGGAGAGCTCCTTGGTCTTCATGGTGCCGCTTGCTTGGTGGTGCCCCTTGCTTAGTGGGGTTGCAGACTCTAGGGCCTTTCAGAACAGGTGTATATATACTGAGATCATGTGACACTTAGATTGCACACAGGTGGACTTTATTTAACTAATTATGTGACTTCTGAAGGTAATTGGTTGCACCAGATCTTATTTAGGGGCTTCATAGCAAAGGGGGTGAATACATAAGCACGCACCACTTTTCTGTTATACATTTTTTTAATTTCACTTCACCAATTTTGACTATTTTGTTTATGTCCATTACATGAAATCCAAATAAAAATCAATTTAAATTACAGGTTGTAATGCAACAAAATAGGAAAAACGCCAAGGGGGGATGAATACTTTTGCAAGGCACTGTATCACTTTGAGAAACTGCTCAGTTGTCGCTCTCAACTACTGCCTTTGTAAAATTAATGTGATGGTTTCTCATTGTTCTTCTCCTCCCTCCCTTCTCTCTCTCTCTCTCTCTCTCCATCCCTCCCCCTTTGCCTCTTTCCTTCTCTTTCTTCATCTTATCTCTCTCCCCTCTATCTCTCTCTTTGTCCATCCTCAGATCCTGTCGGCTCTGGAGAGGGACGAGCAGTCGCGGAGGCAGAGACTCAGGAGCAAGCTGGAGCAGGTCATTGACACAATGGCCTTGGCCAGCTGAGGAACGACCCTTCCTCTCCTCCTCATCCCAGTCTTCTCCATCTTCCTCTCCGTCTCTCTTCACCCAGAGAAAACGAAACTCAGACAGCGTGGTTTTCAAACCTTCCTAAAAACACAGGATGGAGGCACTGCAAAGGACAGAAGGCAGTACACTGCACAGGGGTGATTCAGCAGTACTGGGCGGGCCTGTGCGTGCGTGTATGTGTGTGTAAATGCAGGTCTATATGTGTGTGTGTCTGTGTGTCAGAGACCGGGGCACTGGACTTTTCGTTGCACACACCGAGAGACATCACCAGAAAGCATTTTGATTATCGTAGCTGTTGTCGTCGTGGTTTTGTTTCTCCTCTGTCGGTTTTCCTGGACTTTGTCTTCGTTGAAGCCATGTCTCGGATAGCCAGGATAGGATTTTTGGAATGGAACTCCATTTTGGCATCACGAAAAGGACGGAACGTTGTTTGGACATGGGCCTTTCTCGGGGCCAATGAGAGAGTGGCTCCTCGGGTCACATGATTCCTGTAGGAGTCAAAGACATTATTACTGTTGTTTTTGTTTTCGTATAATTTTTTTAAATAAATGTAATCAACTGCCCACTCTCTGATCTCTCGCCACCTGTGTTACTGCTGAATTTGCACAATTTACAGAAACGTTACAAAGGAGGACTATATAGATATTATATATAAATACAACTACATTTTTAAAGAAATTAAGATTAGGCTTAAACATTTCAGTTTTTAGCTGACAAACACAATGAAAAGAATCCATCAACAATGAAAATTTAATTTGATATTTAGAGCAAATCAATCTAGGTTAGAAGAATAAAAAAACTGAGAAAGAAAAAGAAACAAAAAAGTTGTCCTGTGCCATGTTTTTTGTTGTTGTTTAGTGCAAAGACATTTTGTTAGATGGAATGTGCTACCGTATGATTTAAATATAAATATGCCTAGTGACTGAAATTATTCTCTGAGTAATAAAAGATAGGAAGATACAAAAATGTAAAATGTCTAGGGAAGAGGAAAGCTACTTTGTCCCTTAGGGCCACCTTAGGAAGGGCATCTCATTATATTGTAATATTTCTGTATTGGAAAGTTGGTCTGGAGAGGTCCTGCGAAAATAAGAATGTGCTGTCATTTCCAATCTGTCGTGCAATCTCGTTTTTTGAAAAGCAAACACAGACTCACGCAAGCATTGCTTCTTTTCCTTCAGATTAAATCTAGTTTGAAGGCTAATTTGTATCTTCCAGGGCTAAAGAATTTGACAGTTTGTGCTATGGTGGTTGACCAATGTAGAGCATTGCGCTACTTGAACCAATAGCCATCTATAGGCTACCCCCACCACCAGTTAGCATCACCACATCTGATTGGCTGAGCTTGGTAGGAAATTAACAATGATGAGTGGGGTCATAGGTCAACGAGTGAACATGTGATATAACATCCCCTCTACCCAACATGTGACCTAAAAGAACGTATTGGGTACAGTGCATCTTGAGGGGCTGTGAACGGGAGGACATTTATCCAAACTTGACGCCTAGTTTTACCCCTAAACAAGTCTCCTGTCTCCACCCCTATACAACCGGAAAAAAAACACCCTCCTTCAGTATTTCTCTTCATCTCTTCCGTACCTCCCTAGGCATTCTCTCATCCCCATAATATCCAACAACAAGAACAGTCAAACTCTTGGTGGTTCCAGACTTGGTCCACCTCTTCACTAGTGTTAGCCTCAGTGTGTTCTCATTCAACTTACCTGGTAAAATAAGGGTTAAAGAAATAGCTAAATGGGGTCAGGTAGGGCTTTACTAAGCCTCTCAGTCTAAAATTACAAAGTGTGGAAAGACAGAAAGCCTTTTCCAGCTCCAGGCCTCTCTCTCTCATCTCTTCCCAATGCTATTATGCAGATAATAGGCAAGGTGACGGTAGTACGGTACGGAGTGCTCCTTCTCTCCTAACCCAGAAATATGAGACGAGACGGGGCTTTAGCTCTCACCCATAGGGAGGACGGGACTGGCGAGAAGAGGCACCCTCCACTCATTAGCAACACAAGGCTAAGTAATCCCTTAGCCCCCCTGGCCCTTGTTTCCATCTAAACAAACCCTAATGCCGTGGCTTAAGCTTTTTTAAATACTTCTCTCTTAAGATAATTTTTATTCTCGCTCTTCTATTTTCCCTTTTTTTGAAGTTTTGGAAGTTTGACTTTGTGGTGAGATGTTTTAATTTATATATAAAAAAAAAAAATGCTTGCCGAAAACCAAACTGTGGTCTAATGTATTTTTGTTTGATTTTGTAAATTGTATTCACTTAGGTTTTTTCATGATGATGAAGTGAAATGAAGCTTTTGGCAATTTTTGTTGTAATTAGGTTGTTTACGTTGTTTTTCTCGTCATATATTGTGCATTATACGGTACACTGAAGATGAAGACATCTTTGATTTATCTGAAGTTTAAGTACTTGACCGATCTAAAGGTTTATTTTCTGATCTCCACGATCAGTGGAAAACATTGCATCAGATAAGCATCTGTGTCTTTTCAAGATTGAATTAGTGACTTGCTGTTTTAATCCAAATCTTTAAAAAAAATACCATCAGGGCTATCATTTTACTCTGTCATAAATGCTGTTGCAATTCATTGTATGCCAGGTTCCTTCCAATATTCCTCTGCACAGAAATGAAGAAAATAATCGACAGGACTGATTGGTACATCTCAAATGGTACCATAATACCTATCTATTGCACTATGGCATTGGTCAAAACTAGTGCACTATATAGGTAATAGGGTGCCATTTGGAAGCAGGCATTGATATATATACAGCTGTACTGCATTCCTGTTGTACCTTCCTCTACATATTGGACCGTTAAAATAGAGGTGCTAGCCTGGTCCCAGATCAGTTTATGATGTATAGCCAAGACAGTATTAACAATGTATTGTCATGACTTCATAAACAGATCTGACACCAGGCTATACAGGTGCTGCTTTGAGAGCCAAACAGAACCCTTCCTGGGACCACTTGTCTTGCACTACTAGCGTTCTTGGGCCAAAACAACATTCCAAAGTTAGCTTCTTCGAACAGAACAGGGTTCCTTTCTAAGCAACCGTGTGCCTGACTAACTTGTTGGGAGAAAGCATTACATTTTGAATGAGTTTTGACATAATACATTTTTAACTACTGCAAAATAAAACGCCCCAAATATGCTTAGCTGCTTTACAGGGTTTATAACAAAATAATGCTTTCCCTGAGTACACAACTTTCCCTCTTTTGTTGTGCCTATATCTTTCGGTGCGCTTAGATCCTGAGTTCTTTCATTTGTGTTTCTCCCATCACTGTGCTGGTTGGATTTTTTATCAAGACGCAACTTATCCTCCATTTCTCAGGACATTGCCTCAGTTATTTTGCGACGTTCTCTCTGCGTTGTAGTTCCATTGTTTCAATGTTACGGCCTTGAGGGGAGGAGGACTTTAGCTTGTTTTTGCATGACTGCTTGAGTTAAAGATCAATTTGTTTCCCCCAAGTCCAGAAGGCTCCTACGTGAGATTTCATCGTTTCTCATGATCGTTTCTCATGATCTGTCCCTGTTTGTTTGTTTGTTTTGTTTGTTTGTTTGTATGGTGATTGGCTTGTGTTGGTGTCATTGAAGTGGTACAATGTACAGCATGTGGATTTAGTAGCTTCATGGCCATTTGATGTGATCAGGAGGAACCAGCGCTAAGACTTGACACAGCCTGACATAAAGCTGTCATAGGACCAATATAGTGCTGTCATATGAACGACAGCCTGCCAAAGTCGTTTGTGGCTAGTCCCACATTACGAAGCATGAATAAGAAAACAACTGACATTTGGTTGACCATCTCATGCAATATTACAGTGTTATGTCAATCGACATACTTACATATGAACTGTTATGACCTCAAATGGTCCATCTCTCATCAACTCACGTTAGCTGATCATTAATCTTTCCCTGAACCATCTACACCCAAACAGATTGGGCCAGTTTCCCGGACCCAGAATAAGCCTATTCCTGGATTGAAAAGCACCTTTTCAATGGAGATTTTCCAATGAGCATGATTTTTGGAGCTGGAATAGGTTTAATTCTGGTCTGGGAATCTGACCCAAAATGATCAACCCAGTCATTCCTTGTCATACTATTGCCTTTCCGAGCCCTGGTTTGAGAAGATTCTGACCATTTATTTTCCTCCTCATTTACTTTTTGCCAAACTCTCAGTAGCTGTCATTTTTCCAAATGAAAACTGCATAGGATCCAAGAAAATAAAAATCGATCAATTTCAGATAAACTGGCAAAATTATTTTTTCCTACATACAATAATTCTGATACTTTTAAGTTTCAGACTTGAAGCGACTGTCACAAGTGTGCAGGTTAACGTTCATTGTGTAAATATTCAGTTATTTCCTATTTTGCAGATTTACAACTTGTATATAAACACTCATCAAGGAGAGATTAAATTTTTTTTGCTAAATAAAATGTGTTTCCTCTCTCTATTTGGTGTTCAGAAGTGTCCACACACACACACACACACACACACAGGACTTGAATTATTCGTAGCCAGAGTGAATTCATTGCTTTATTTTACAATAAGATGATATTGCTTGGAAAACAGAGCATGCTTAAAAATGGAATACTGTTATACTGGAATGGTCTATCGTTTCTCTGAAGTCCCATATCTCCCTACTGAAACGATGTGTCACAGGTGGCCAAGTTTATAGTATATGATGATGAGTATTACTGTTTATGTCTGTCTTTCTGGATGTTCAAGGGAATTCAACTGTGCCACTTTTGGGAGGATTCAGTGTTGAACTGAATTTATAGTGCCTTCAGAAAGTATTAACACCCCTTGACTTTTTCCACATTTTGTTGTGTTACAAAGTGGGATTAAAATGGATTTAGTTGTCATTTCTTTTAAATGATCTACACAAAATACAATGTCAAAGTGAAATAAAAATTCTAACATTTATAAAAAGAGATAAAATAAACCCCGAATACAGTGGGGGAAAAAAT